AGGGAGGGAGCTACTAGTAGACAAAAAAAAAAATAAATAAATAAAGAGGGAGAAGCTGCAGTGATAGCCAGTCACATCAGATGCAAGTACGTCTGGCAGACCCAACAACACAACCAGAGGACGGATGCAGGGAAGCAAAAAACAATATCAACAACAAAATATGCACTATGCTGCCACTAAAGACCAAGAGCGCGCCTTTCTGCATTCACATCAATCTTATCGTGCCGTCGCTTCACCTTGAAGGGAATGTTTAGTGCGTCGCAAAACCCACTCATCTTACGCACCGCAAAACGGCTCATAATAACAACCGACACACCAGAGATTCCAAACCTTCCAACACGCCCGCACCAATGCGCGTAGTCCAAGGCAGATTGGGGAGTGGCCAAAATCATGACATGAGTGAGATCGTTGATATCAATACCGCGAACCGCAGAGGAAAGGCAGAGAATAAATTGTCGAACAGGCACCTCCCCTACGAAAGATGAATTGACGTTTGACGTCTCAGGTGGTCCTGAGTGAATCACGCCTTCACCCCCTCCTCTCCGTTCACGTGGCTCCTGAGGCGTGCCAAACAGCTCCACGGTGAATTTGTCATTTGGCTGGGCAGGCGCCAAAACCCGTTGAACAAAGAGATCCGTATTTCCGGAGTTCGGCAAAATCACCAGCGTTTTCATCTCCCCCATTGAACGTGCAAGGCTCTCACCACCAAGCCCTGACTCCTGCATGGCGGCTACCAAGCACTCTCGCTGCTCCTCCAGGGTGTCGGCGGTGTAGAAGCAGTGTTGAATCCCATCCGGGACGACCACCTTTGAGAGGTTACCTGTCGATTTTGCTTTTTGTGCAAAACTCACAATCTCACTCTCAAAAATACGGGAGGTCTTGGACTCGAGCACGCTCTTCTTTAAAAACCGCCGCACGTGGTTAACGGTGGATCCTGCAAGCGTTGCACTCGTAAACACCAGTTGCACCGGCGCCTGGTACTTAACAAAGCGGTAGAGCTCCTTCAGGAGTAGATTTCCCGCCGCATCCGGGCGGGTGGAGGGGAGTACGTCATCCACCTCGTCCACCACCACAAGGTCAATGCTTGGCAGCACCGGGGTGAGGGCGAAGGAGTGTTTCCTGCGGCCCGCCGCCGCCTCACGGCGAAGGATCACCTGCTTGCGGCGCTGAAAGAACTCCCAAAACACTTCCGGAGTAGCCACGCATACGTATGGGCGTCGATCCACCGAGCGCACAACGTTGCCTGCCGCGTCACGGACAAGTTCCCGCGTGAGACGCTGGTACACCACGCTAGGAGGCACCTCGCTGGTGGCGGTAAACACCAACCGATCATCCGCCTCAAACCACCACATCTCCTGCATCCACTGCGCAATCTGACGGCAGAGGTGGTCGTTCTGTGCGAGGAACAAGACAGAAAAAAGTTTCATCGGTCCATCCCGCATCAGACGCGCAATAAGGGCCAAACAAAGCGCAAACGTTTTTCCAGTTCCCGTCGGAGCACACAGGGCCACGTCTTGCTGAGCATAGAGATGTTGAAGAGCGCGAGCCTGGACCATCGTCAATCCCTGAAAGCCACCCGCTTCATCACCACTTTGCGAAGAGGCATCACGCAGAGACGTTTCGTGCGAGAAGCGCCGGTGCAAATACTGCACCAGATATGGTGGAAGTCCCATTCGTTCAGGGTCCAGCTTTGCTACCGGCCTCTGTGAAAGCCCTTGTAACGAGCTCGTCTGCAGTGCTGCTTCATCCACGACTATGTCAGAGAGAGAAGCCACCTCGCGCAGTGGCTCTGGCCGCCTCGGTGTAAACACCAAAGGCCTGCAATCGGAGGATCGGATGTCCGTAAATTCCTCTGGAACGTCTCGAAATCGCCGCGGCAGACGCTTTTCTCGACGCCACAAGAAAGCAAAACATCGTCGCATTCGTCAAATGCAATACAAAAACAACACCCAACTGCAGTGTGCCTACACCGCGTCGTGGTTCCTCTCCGTACCTCGCTGGCGTTCTATCACCTGGTAGAGAGACGGCGGAGCTGCAGTAGCCGCCAGAATGAAGGAAGAGCAACGGAAGAAAGAAAGAAGGAAAAAAGAAAAAACAATCGTGGACATAACAGTTACGTTGCATACACGTGTATCTACGGGATTACATTTATTATCAATGTAACATTCAACGTGGCAGAGATAACGCTCAACATGCATCCAAATAACAGCAACAGGACTCCCCTCCCTCTATCTGTTTTCTCCGACATACACGCATTCAGGTACTGAGAGCGAAGTAAACGGAAGAGCGAGGGTTTACCAGACTCATCATCTCCCTGCCCACCCTAAACGCATAAAGACATGAATCACATGGTGCTTGTCACCACTCCCTACTTTATGTCCCCTGCATACTATACTATTCATCTGCCTCTGAGCTGCTGGATTCATCCTCCTCCGCTTCACTTTCATCGTGTTCTGTCGATTTTCTGACGGGCTGAACCTCCTTGCAGCGATACTTCATAATTTCAAGCGACGCTGGGCGATAGTAGTTGGACCCAGAGCACGCAATACCAAGAGCGGGCATGGTCAAATCTGCTCAGTTTTTTTTTGTTTTTGTTTTCTTTTTGTTTCGTGTTTTGCTTGGTTGTATAGCTTTGGCGTCCACCTTGGAGCTCTGTCTACCCACTACGCACTTACGCCGCCTGTCTTGTATGTGTGCCTTCTCCACCGTCGGAGTGTGTCACTTACCTATTCCTCTTAGCCACGGCTGTGAGGCGCAAGCAAGAAACAAAAAAATTGGGGAGAAGTGTCTCAAGAGTCACCTTCACTGACACGTACTGCGCCTCCACCCACGGCAGTTCCTACTTCTTCACACGCCTCCACTCTCCTCCAGCACCCTACGCGTTCCTCCTCACCCGTGCGCACACGCAAACAAGTCTCCGAACCTAAACCACCCCTCCAGGAAGCGTTTGTTCACAGGAAAAGATACAAAAACTTCTCGAACGGAATCACTGGCTGCCGGGAGGCGAGTACTGCTGCAGAGGCGAGAAAGTCCAAACTCATCCCCAGCGCACCCTGTGCCTCACGGACACGGCCCATGCCCTCGTGCGCGGCACCGAGAGCCGCGTTGGAGTTAATAGCCAATTGGAAGTAATGCGACGCCGCAACCAGGCGCGTGGCGCAAAAAGACTGGGGCTGATTGGCCTTGAGGGCCTCAAGAAGGTGAAGACGGCCCAGCTGGACATATGACTCTGCGTGTGCTGTGCACACTTCAAGTGCCGTGCACAACATGGAGCGCAGCGAAAGTACCTCCCGCTCATCGAGCAGAGTTCGCTGCTCCTGAATCAGCCGCTCATCCTCAAACAACCGCAACTCAGAAACGTCGTCTTCAATTCCTGCCGCCCCGTGACTCTGATGAACCGCGTCCACAAGCTTTTCGATGCGATCAATCTTTATCCTCGCAGCACAACAAATGAGATCAGCGTAGGCCCTGCTGTGGTTCTCCTTTGCCTCAGTCACGTACTCCAATCCAGCCCTAACCGCGATCTCAGCGACGGCGGGGCAACCAACTTCCACAGCGACATGCGCCAAAAGAGCCCAGTGCCCCGCTGCACGAGAACCTCCGTGTAAGCGACTGCTCCAACCTCCATCCGCAACGACAGTCAAGCCAATTTCTGGTGAAAGTGAAAACTCTTCAGAGGTCACTTGCATTGATGTGTATTGGGCCGTCGCCTGAACGCGTGCCATAAGTACTGCCAGCAGTTCCTCAAAGTTTTCACGTTGATGCTGATGCAAATCGTTCGTCACATACCGCATCGCGGTTAACACAATCCCTCCCGGAATGTGCAGCGGATGCGAGCGCTCCGCGCGGTTGGCCGCATCCAGGGCCTTTTCATAATCCCCATTTGCGGAGAATAAAAGAGAAAGAAGCACCAATGCGTTTACATCCGCCCTATTTTCATCCAACAATTTATGTACCAGCGACAAGGCTGTTTGTGTCTCACCAAGGACGGCCATAAGCCAGGCAAGTTTCATAAGATGCAGCACGTCCGTGGGAAATGTGGCACCCCGCCGTGTAATGACCTCCGCTGTGCTTCTTGTCAGCTTCGCTGCCATCGCCTCCAGTGTACTTCGGCTTTCGCTCTCTTGCACCACACATCCAAGGTGGTAAAAAGACCATGCAAGGTGAGTGGTGGTTAGCGGGCAGTGGTGGGCATCAACTGCCATTTCAGCTAAACGTACACCGGCATGTAGCGAAGAGACGGTTCCTTCTTTGATTCCAAGGTAAGAAGCCAACATGAAAAATCTTGCAGCCAACTGCTGTTTTGATGTGGAACTGGCAGAAGTAGTTGAAGCGAAACCTTTAGAAGTCACATCAGATGCCGTAAATGTTGTGTTGCCGCCATCGCCTGTGGCATCACTCCCTCTACTACGAAGAGAAGTGATGGATTGGCTGTGGGGCGGCCTCTCTTCCATCAGCGCCTTGGCAGTGTCCTCGAGCATCTGCAGGAGACGCTGTACAGACACGTTTCGGTGTTGCAAGCAAAACATAGAGGTTTCCATCCACTGGCGCACGGAGACAGGAGGGACAAGGGTGACGTTCTGAAAGCTGTCCGCATATTGAGGTGGGACTGTCTCAACGGCACTCAAGGCGGCAACCACGGAGACCTCGTCGGTGCGCGAGGCCATACTGAGCACTGACAGACTAGTTCTTTTGATACCTTATTAGACCGTAACGTATAAATGCATGCAACCTCTATGCCCACGCACGACTGCCTAGATGAACTGCGTAGGTTTACTGCCAAGTGACTCTCCCACACATACACACAGAGGCAAAGACAGAGGGGTGAGTGGCACGAAGGGCTCTCCTCCTCAGGATTCGCCAGAGCCAAAAACACCGCAGAAGCACGCAAACCACACTTCGCCCCTTCAAAGCCAACAGAGTACCTCCTAATAGAGAATGCATGGAGCAAAGCCAACCAAAGAAAAAGCAGTAACAGAGAGAAAAAAAGAATAAACGGAAAAAGAGTCACAGGCGGCGGAGGGCACTCACATGCATCCTCATTTGAGCACAACAGCAACAACAACAACCACTCATAAGTGTTTTACCGGGTAGCGTCTCCATTCAACGTGCTCACACCCACCTTCGGTGGTTATCACTGATATCGTAGTCCGCCGCTAGCTGTTCGTCCGCCTGACGAATGATGGTGCCTTGGCGCAGCGATACTATATTCAGACGGTCATCCAGCACACCACTTACGAGTGTGTGTTCCTTCAGCACAGCTCCGTTGAGGCCCTCTGATGCTGCAATGGCTTCCTCCACAGAGGACATACGCAGAAGTGCCGTTCCCATGAAGGAACCGCTTCGATCATCGATGGCGATGCGCACGTCTTCTACATGCCCATACTCCGAGATGGAAACATGCAGCTGGTCCACTGTGAGCCAGTACGGTAGACCATCCACCACAACATCCGGCACAAATGTGTCAAGAGGCAACGCATTCGTGCCATCCCTTTCAGCCTCCGCCTCGGTGGCAGCGTCGGGAGATGGACCTCCGATAATCTCTACAGGCACATCGTGCAGCACACGATCCACATCCGCCAAGGTGTATGTGTCAAAGGCAGGGTCGTGAAACGCTATAAACGCCAACTCGGGGTAGTACGCACTGCGTACAGCCTTCATAGCATTGTCTGTGGAGTCAACTGAAACAATAAAATCCTGCATAACAATCGTTGTGGCTTCCTTGTGACCCATATCTACAGTGCTTTGTTTCTGCTTTGGTTGCTGCCGTTGCTGTAGCAGCGTGCATGATACTTGTCCGTAGCGGCCAAAATACCGATTCATTGTTTCCTCATTCTGCACGGACTCGGAGATCATGCGAACAAACAGGTGCGTCGTCGTCGTCCTCTTCTTCGCAGAAGTCGAAGACGTAGCTGTTACCGGCGGTCGGACATGAAATAAAAAATCCATTGTGGATGTTTTTTCATCACTTGCGGCAGGCTTTATATTAGGCGATATATTCAATGTTTCCCCTGTACCCACGACAACATCCTCTTCTTCTTCCTCTTCTCTCTCCACAGCAGTGTCTGTGGGCAGCGGCTTTGGGCGTCCTAACGACGCAGTTTCCCCCTCCATCTCCTTTCGCTCTCTTTTTCTGGTGCTGGCGCGAAGTGACGGCTGCCGGTGAATAGGGCCAGGTGGCGCAGTGGCAAATTCAGGGAACGACAAGAAGGAGAGAACGTAAAGATGCACCTCAGGCGGGCACAAATGCCCAAAGCGACGCTGCAAGCATAACAGAAGCAGCCTTGCGTGCTGCTTGGCTGTGGAGCTCACACACGAGAAGAATAGCGGAAGCAAGAAAGAGTTATCCAGGAAGGCACTATGAAGGTGCGGCACCAGGTGGAGAAGCCGCGCCACATGGTGGTGGTGCAGGTCGCGGATGATGGCATCCATCGGGCGGATGACTCCTGCTCTCTGGCCGCGTCTCAGGTTAGCTCCTGTTTCTGCCGCGTCCCTTTCACCCTACTCCTGTGGACCCCCGCTGCAGTCTTGGCGAGCAGCAAGAAGGGAGACTGACAGCAAGACAAAGGAAGAAAAGAAAAGAAAAAACACACAAATATACCAAGACAGAAGTGCACACGCAAGCCCGGAGCACAAACCCAACGGCACTACTTGTTCCCCTCCCACCCAGCCCCACTTTTTTTTTTTTTGTGGTGGCTCGTCTGAGGTCAAATTTACTCGTTTACGCCACGTCTCCGCTGCGCCACTTCATTCGGCGGCGGGGCTGCTGGACTTGAGAATGGCCGAACGGAGTGTTGCACTACGCGACGTCAGCATCTCAACCGCATCGGTCAAGGCTGGCACAAGAAGTGGAAACTTCCCGTGGTGCACGAGGGCGACAATGCCCTCCGTCTCATCCACGACCACCGTGAGAAGCCCGTCCGCCACGCTCTCCTCCGCCGCGTTGGTGTCAAGCAAAAACCGCAATTCACCTGCCGTCGCACAGACGCCGATAGTGGCAGCCACAGGCATCCTATGAAACCGAAGACACTTGCATTCCACCACGTCTCCACTAGGAAGGCGTGCTTTCGGGAGTGCCAAATTATGCAGGGCAGCAGCAGCCGTGTGAAGGGCCGCGGCCCGGAGACCGCCATCGGCATTCATCACAACCAGCTCCACGCGTAGCACCCAGCAAGCTTCACCGCTAATCACGCAAAGCGCGGTAAGATCCAGGCATGAGATGATGGTGGAACGAACAAAACGAGCCAACTCATGTAGCGTCCCTTCTATCTGAACTTCGCTGTAACTTGGAAAAAACGGTGCCGTGACATCCACCGTAAGGCGACCCTCCTCAGGGTATTGTGGCGGCGGTGGACCAAATACACCGGTGACAGTGCAAGCCAGACTTGTCCCGGTATCGTCTGTGTACAGCGTGGACGCCAGAACTCTATTTGTCTTTGTCACCTGTCGGTTGTCGTGAAGGATATGTGGGGTTCGAATAGCATCGAAGGAACGCCCGTCCAACCGTTTCTCCTGAGCGAGAAGGCGAATGACGTGCTGCTTGAATGAACTGAGCTCCACCGCCCCTGTGGCGGGTGGAAGAGACATGCGGGAGACTTACCTTTCCTGTGTGGGAGCAAAGGCACATCGCGATTGGCGTGCGTCATTGAAAAAGTGGAAAAAAAAAAAGGCATGCTGAGAAAAACAAAAAAAAAAGGGCATGCTGTGGCGTCGTTACTATTGTCATTCTTCTTTGCCTTCTTCGCTTTCCCTTCTCCTTCCCTCCCTTCGGTGTCCCGCTTACACACCTCCGTCTTCTCCACGTCATTCGCGTTTATCGCTTTGCCGCAGCAGTGTTGGCTCAAATTGTCGTCAGAGCATTTGTTCGTTTTGTATATTTCAAACGTTCACTCACGTACTTTCTGTCTCCCTTTTATTGCCGTCCGTCTCCTCGTTTTGATTTTTTTTTTTAATTATTATCCTTCTCCCTTTTTGTACGATTGCGGCGGTAACGATGAAGTGGCCAGGCGGCCACACAAAAATAAACAAAATAAAAACAAAAAGATGGATTCATCCGGTTTGTAGGTCACCACACGCACAAACCAGCTAGAGAAGAGATTTCATACAATCTTGTTGACGTGTATATAGATTTATATATATACATATATATATATATGTATATATGTATTTGTGTATACATTTAGAGCGCAAAGAAGACAGAAAAAGGTACATGCATACCCTAGTTAGTTTCAGAACCCTACAAGCAAAGACACATCCGCAAGCAAGCAATGAGGCAAAAACAACAAGACCAAACCAAAAATTCTACAAAATTAATTTTGTTCCACACTCCGCGCAGAAGCGCTGCATCCTGGCATGAAGCTTCGCACCACATTCAAAGCAAAAACGTAGCTTCTTGCCCTCCACGGAGTCACCCCGCGCCTCCGTCTCACTCTTCTGCTGCGGGGGAGAGCAAGCACTTTTTTCAGCGACATCACCGAGAACGGGCTCGGTTAAAGATGGCGCCTCTTCTGAGAACGGTTGTTTCCTAAGCCCCGACCCTGCACGACTCTGCAGCGGAGTGTCGTGTCCCATTTTTCTTTCTTGCCCCATGGGGGGCGGGAGTCACCATGTGACGGTCCGTGAAGACGGAACTGCGAGGGTGCGGTTTGTTGCGTTCCAGGCATACATCTTCGTGCTTCTCCAGACGCCCAACCTTGAAAGTTCGATTGCAAAAGCGGCATCTTGGAAGCTCATCCATCCTGTGTATGTCAACCTGCAGGCGAGAGGCGACGTGCTTGAAGCGAGAGACATTGTTCAATGGAATTTTTACGACGCGCCTCACTACGGCAGCGTCATCATCCCATGGTTGGAAATCATCAAGAGGCTGGTCTGAGGCAAAAACAGCAGCCTCTGCTGTAGAAGCGGCGGCATCGCTGCCAGCGCTTGGTAAAGCATCCTCCGTAGGGGGGTTCTCACGCCTGCCGTCATCCGTCAAGCCCGCAGAAATGGCGCTTTGTTTAGGGGTATATTTGGTTTCTTTACCTGTATTTTGATTTTCCCCCGCCTCGCGAATTGTGTGGCTCGTCAGCGTCTCCTCCGGCTCTATCACTTTTTTTTCATTTGATGTGGTCAGGTCTTGATCCACCGACTGCGTGGCATCGGGTGCAGTGGAAGACAGGGAACCACCACCATTTTTGGTGTCTTCATATTCTTCAGTGCCTGCCTGCACAGGAAAGGTATCCTTCACACACGGGAGCGTTTCGCTTAACAAGTCCTCCTTCAATGCAGTGGAACTCACTGCATGACCATCTGCAAGTTGCCGATGATGCGTGGGAAACACGGAACTTTGCACCCTTTCTGTTGGGACGGAGTTAGACGTTACCGCCGACAAGCGCTGTTCGTCCAAGGGTACAGCCTCAGTTGACTTTGTGCTAAAATGTGTTAGATAAAACTCATTTTGTGCTTTTGTCGGGGTTTTTTCGCCTACTTTTCGGGCAGCGACTGTGCGGGCCACCGGCCTCGAGGCACTCGCTGCACCGGGTTTGCAACTACGCTGATGAACCTCCAAACGGTCGGGAAAAAACGTCCGCCCACAGTTCTCACACTTTACAAGCATATTCGTGTTAAATTGCTCAAGCTGTGCTTCATTGAATCGATCAACCTCCTTGCGCTTCAATCTGCCTCCTCCGTTGGAGGCCCTCACCTCACCTATAGCGGCCCGCTCTTTCATCTGTTTCCCGTGCTCCTCTGGGTCCATTGGTCTTGGGCCTCGCTTTACTGGATCCATGCGTTCCCACTCGATGAGTTTCTTGACGTAACACTGCGGCTGGTGGATGGGCAAGCTGATGGAGCTGAACTGCAGGCCACAGAGGTAGCAGAAGAGAAAGTTGGGGCGAGAACCTTGTCCGCCGCACCGTGCGCTGAGCGGCTTTGCCGCAGGTCGCTCTTGCATCTCCTCCTCAAGAACCTTATACAGCCCCCGTGTCACAATAAGGCCCGGCACAGAGCCACTGCTCCGTCGCGGTGTGGCTGGCTCGGATGAAATGCGCAGACGTGCTCCGTGAGGCGTACACGGCGTTTTAGCACGCAGCGAGGGACTATCACGTGGGTCACGATGCCTGGAGTTCATTGCCTCGTCCTCCTCATACGCCTCCTTCCCGTTGGAACAGTCCTTTGATGTCAGCTGCTATTCTCACTCGCTCCCTCCTTCCCTCCGTTTGAGCTTTGTCTTTACACCGCCCCCCTTTGCTACCTTCTACCACCTTTCGAGACTTCCTTATTTTGCTCTTATTCTCCTACTTGCGGGTGTACCTTTACCCTTTTGTAAACCCACAGCGATGTGCGCAGGATCAGGGTGAATGCGACCTTCAAACAAAATAACCGCTGCTAACGCAAAAAAAAACGGTTGTGGACGACGTGATAGTGGAAAGCGACACCGCAAACAACGCCGCACTTATGCACGTGGGAAGTGTGTAAGAAAAAGTGAGTGAGAGAGAAGAAATGCGGAACAGCACTCGCCTCAGCTCTGTGGCGCCAATGGCATCCGCAGCTGCAGTCGGCGGAAGTGTCAAAGGAGGGGGGGGGGGTTTCAAAAATAAAAACAAAAAAAAAAGGAGGATCACACGTGTTTAAAAACCAACTAAATAACCACATTTTACATCAATGCGAAGAAGAGCGCGTGCCCTTTTTTGTTTGTTGTTTTTTTTTTTTTTGTGGTTCTGTTGTTCGTTGTTTTATCTTATTTGTTGCCGTTGTTCTGTGTTTCCGCTCCTTTCCCTTTATGCATCTATCTCATCCTCCGACAATCCGTGAGCCGTGCCCCACACACGCAGAAGCATTTACTTCGCCTTCCGTTGCTGGAGGGACTTCGATGTGTATGGCGTGGCGCCGCCCATCATAATCAGCTCCATCTCCCCCTCTGTGTAGACATACGGCCGGAACTTTGCCGGCAGCTCGTCAAAGGTCTCCACAATCGTATTCGCCAGGGCAGCTTTGCAGCCCTCCATATTGTTGCCAGCCTTTCTAATTGCATGGGAAAATCGAATACGGGGTGTGTACCGCGACAAAAGTGACACGCGCAGCATTTTGCTTCCTTCAGGCGCACGACAAGGTGTATTATTATTTTTTGTGTGTGTATGTGTGTGTGTGTTTACGTGTTTCTCTTGTGAACAGCTGTATCCCTGGCTTCGTGGAAAAGTATACAAAAAAGGGCAAATCAAACACAAGGGGGTGGGGGGGAGCGGCGATGCACCACAGGCACAGACAGAGATAAGTTTAGTGGAAGAACGGGAAGAAGAGGGGTGAGAGGAGGGGGGAACCGCGTAAACGACTGCCAAAGGGAGAGAAGGCAGGGCAAAGGGGAAGAAACGAAGAATATAGAGCCGAGCCGCGCCTACTGTGCGGTGCGTGGCGCAACCTCCAGCACAGCGTAGCCGACGGCGGCGGCCGTCCAGGGGTCGATGTCCACAACGCCACAATCTACGCTGAGGTGAAGCTGGCCTTCAATGCAGGAAACGATGCCACGGAGAACGTTTCCCAGAAGATGAAAATCCCCACTGACGGCAAGCTGCAGAAGCACAAGTCGCTTTGAACGCACGAAGGGTTTCCCCTGACGCTGCGAGATCACACCGTGCCGAAGCACACTTACTATCGCCTCCACATCTGTGTCACTGTCGAGGAGACAAAAAAAAGTCGCAGGAGCTCCCCCCGCAGAGGACACCGCGGCATCGAAGCTGGTGAGATTCACCGTGGCTTGCCCACTTTCGCGCTCTTCTCGCGCGAGGTATACGACAGCCGTCGTCGACATGCAGCCAAGCCACTGCGAAAGAGCCGTAGCCAGCAGCCTTGAGCCCATTGCCAAAGGAACTTTCGATGCCTCCTCACAAGTTCGGGGGCAGCTTGGGCTCGGAAGTAATAAAACAATACCGCCTTCCTGCAAGTCCCCTAGGGAGGGAGAGTAAAACGGAGCCAACCGCCTCTAGCGACATCGCGTGGCGCCAAACAGAAGACGGCGAGAGTTCAATTCGTGTTAGTTCCCGCGCTTCAAGGACGGAGGCGACTGTGCTGTGCATAAATGGCAAATTTGCTGTCACCGTTTTCCCCGAGGGCCCATGAACTGCGGTGCACGGCACAATTCCCATCACGTCAATCACGTTCGCCGTGGTCGCAAACTCCACGCGCCGTAGACGTGGATACAAGCACGACATGGAACCATCACTACAAACCGTGGCGATGCCAAGATGCTTCGTCAGGGGCAGTGCGGAGAGCACCGCATCCACGAGTTGTTGTTCCGCCAGCGCAAGCTTCCCCTCGGGTTGTGAGGGAAGTCGCAAAGGGCCATGTTCACCAAAGTTTGCCGCATCCTGGCGCAAGAGCAGCGTCACATGCATGCCACATTCCCACGTGCGCGTGACGCCTTCCTGCGAAGTCTGCAAAATAAACAAAGTGCGAAGACACTCTTGCACAGGTGGCGGAAGCCGCCCGGCCCAGCGATTCAAAGCCACCAGGAGTCGCTGTTGCTCCAACGTGCCCAAAAAACACTCCGGTGCGTCGGTTATGGTGGGCGAAAAACAAAACCTCCCCGTGGCCGTGGGGGAAGGCTCCCTATGACTCGACTGCAGCCCTTCGTCGTCAGACGACCCTTGAAAGTAAAACTCCATCTCTCGCATGGAATGAGCCACAATGGGGACGGCGAAGGGCTCCAGAAAACGCACCGGTGGTGGAGGTCGCGCCATCTCCACCGGACTACTTTCCGCCAAGGGAGAAGGTGCAGAAGAAAGCAGCGCAGACTCGAGGATGCGGCGGAGCTGCTCTGCTTTTATATCTCTCGATGCCGCTGCCGCCAGCCCCATCCAAGGGCACCGGGTACACGAGCGGGCTGCGGCGTGGTGAGCACATGCGACGGCGCGGGGCCGCACCCACGCCCGCCCGCCTCCACCTCGGCCACGCCATAGACGGCACTGCGCGGACGCCGGCAACCGACGCTCCTCGACAATGTAGTCAAAGAAGCGTGACGGGGCCCGAATGACATCGCCAGGCCCAACGCCGTGAAGAACAACACGCCGCTGTCGCCGCTCCTCTAACCGTGGGCTTGCCAGTGAAACAATGGAGTCGCACCCGTCCACAAGCATCCGCTTCCCAACGACAATAACGTTGGCGGCCCTCGTGTCGCCTGCACGTCGCGGCGGCGAGTGACGCAGTAGTACCTCACGAAGCTTCTGCAGGCTCATTGCGGGTTTGCCTGCCACTCATCCGCATCGATCGCAAAGGCAAAAGACAAAACACAAACATAAAAAATGAAAAGGATAAAAAAAAAAAGAAGGCAGGAGCAAAGGCCAGTGCACAAAGTAAATCAAAAGAAGCAGCCCATGGAAAATAACGATAATGCGCTTGAGAGCAAAACCCACCACCCAGCCTCTGCGCAGGTGTTGCCCTTCTTTTGATTTGGTGTGTTTGTTTATATTTTTTTTGTTTCCTTCTTTTTCATGTTCTCCCCTCACTTTGACAACGCGCATCGAGTTAAAGACGCACACACAGCAAGAACGGAGGATGCACACGCACACACGTGTGGATCAGCAACTACATAAACAAAAACGCGCCTAGAAAACAAAAGAAAGAAACACCCCATTGATCATCACTACTGTTGAAGAAAAAAAGGAGGGGAAACAAAGAAAGAAAAAAAAAAACAATCTTCCTCGCGGACCTCAACTCCTCGCTGTGGATTCCGCCACCTTCTGTGCTTCGTCTAACGCCGCGTCGCCATCACCATGGATGTTACTCATCCCATTCCCAGCAGAATAGTTTGCGGCACGGGAAATTCGGCCAGCAAGCTTCTGCGCCCGCAACTCGAGCATTTTGCGGCAAAAATTGCTGTAGTCCCGGTGAATGTAGAGAACAGAGAGTACACTGGAGAGAGATGCCCCCAAGCAAACTAAGATAGGTACAAGAACACAGTGCCTACCATAGCACAAGGTGCTGCCCTGCTTTTCCGCCTGCCGCGTGTACCACTCGCCGTACAGCACACGGTTCATCAACAGCGACGAGGCGATCCCGGCGACGGAGCAGAAGTTGTAGTGTTTGGCAACATCCTCTGCAAAAATGGTGCGCAGGACAATCACAACAGCGGCGGCGGTGGCTCCACTGACGAAAGCAAAGATAAAACACGGCAGGGGAAGTGCATGTATTGGCAGCAGAAGCAGCAGCAGCAATGCCACCACCACCAGAACGGAGGGGACAAATAAAGTGAAGGTGACGGGAATGCGTTTCTCCACGGGTTGATTTTGCGTCATCATCTCCAGCCCGCTCAGAAAAATACGTCCCAGCCCGCTACCAACGCCTGTGAGCACAACCAGCAACGCCACAAAGGATTCGTCCAGCGGCTTTCCTGCCAAAGCCCCGAAGAGAAACCGCATATTTCCTACCACCACGGTTTGGGTTCCCGAAGTTGCAAACAGCATCCAAAGCAGCGCCCAAAACCGCAATGTCTTTATATCTTGCATCAACTTTGTTCGATACTGTGGCGCAATGTAGTCCATCTCCCGCACCACTGCTATGCTATCCATCGTGTCCCTTGACACCACGCTGAAACGACTGAACCGGTCCACGCGACTGGATCTCCCTGAAAAGCCATCTGTATGCGGCAACGGCAACTTTCGGTCAAGCGCCTTCCACGGCAGTGCCATAATCGGGTAAAACAACAAAACGCCGAAGGAAATGCAAGCAAAGACAACATGATGAACCCTCGTCAGCTCCATATAGGCCGAGAGAGCGCCTTGAATGGGGAGGAAAAACGTCAAGAAAATCACAACCGTAAATCCAATGACAAACCGAGCTGTAGGAGCCTTCTGCCTTAAAAACTGCCTTCGGATACGATATCGCTCCTGACGCTGAGCCTCTGTAAGAACATGCTGCTCGCACCCTCGGATCATGTACGGCGGCACCTCGATAAAGAGGAAGCCAAGAAAAGCACCCACCATACCCAGGACCGCAATAAAGTAAAAAAAGCGGCTTGTGTTGATGTCGTTTTCAGCTGAGAAGAAGGCCAAGTGGATAGCGCCAATAATCGCAGACCCCATCCCAGAAAATGTCTTCATGACCGCCACAACTGCCCCTTTGTTGGCAGGAAATATAGAAAGCAACGTCATCACGGCACCCACGTCCAGCAACGAGGTCCCCAGCCCCTGCATACAACCGTAGATGCAGAATGCCGCCATTGAGCCGTCAAGAACGTTTGCGAAGGTTAAACCATATAAAACACCACTTAATGGAAATAACGTCAAGGCGGTAATAAAAATAGGTTGCGTCCCATAGTGGTCGTAAAGGGCACCCAAAGGAAAGATGAGAATCCCCACCACGTCGCCAATTGTTGCCATCGTTGTCATTTGGCTCTGTGTAAAGTTGCATTTGGACTGTATCCGCCCATTGTAAAGGTTATACGTGTAAGACGAGGAGATCACCACACAGCATAAAGCAGCCACCACCAACTGCCAAAAACGCCCCGACTCACTCAAAGGTGGTAAGTGACGATGAAAAGATACCCCGCTTCTTCGTTTTACGCCTCCGCCCTCGCCCACAGTGGTCTCATAGGGTTTGTTGTAAATATCACCAGGTTCTGTATCAACCTTGAGGTCTGTCGCATCCTCTACCACCGAGGAGCGAAGAAAACGTGTGTACATTGACGCTTCGTGCCCCGCTTCCCCTTCTTCTTGTTCCTCGTCCTCAAAGTCATGATACAAAAAAGGCAACGCATCTTCACCCTCGTCCCATAGTTCTACAGCATCGTTTATTGTGTAAACTAGCGCCTGGTGCTGAATCGAGGCTGCCATTTTGCGTACCCGTGTTCCTCGCAGGCGTCTGCTATGATGGTTGTGTGTTTGTCAGTTTTTTGCTTGTTGTTTGTTGTTTCCTTTTCCGTGTGTGTATGTGTGTGTGTGTGTTGTCCCCGCTACGCTTCACTCCTCTCACCCCATTGTTTCAGCATTCAAAGTGACGTGAAGAGGAGGGAGCTAACGAAAAAACAACAACAACACAGAGAAGCCCACTTCCCCTTTCCTCTTCAAAGAGAGAGAGAGAAAAGCAGACGCAGAGTCAGTCTCATTCTGTTGCCCCACCCTCCACCCACCCCGCCCAATCTACTCTGAATGCCTTGAGACTAGGAAAGTTTACACGACAAAGTTACCTGCAGCTGCACCCACGCCTAGATCCCGCAGCGTCGAAGAAAGCCGCTCCTTGCAAATACCATTCTGTTTCAGGTAGATCACCAGCTGCGGGTGCAAAAAGCCCTCCGCCCGCCCCGTCCCACCCGCAAAGCATAGCTGCATCATCGTCGCTGCGGCCGACGCCGACATTCCAACGTGATTCAAATGCAACCGTCGCAGCGACAGCCCGCATGCCTTAAGTAGGCGGCCTAGTAAGACCGTGGCGTCCTCGTCCTCATCCTCGTCATTGTTGGAGTAAAACGGATTGTTTGTGAGGCCAACAGCCTCAAGTGGCTGCGGCTTTGGTGTAATACTAACAGAGACAGGCGCAAACGACGTGGGTGCGCGCATTGCCGCTACATCCCCCTCCAAGTAGCTGACAATGGCCCGCAAACCCGGCACACCAAAGCCATTGCTGGCCACAAACAAGCACTTCAAAAAACGCAGTTGCGGCAGGCACCACAAGCAAAGTCTTGTAATACCGTCGTCGCCGAGACAATTACACTCCAAGTCCAGTGTGTGCAGGCCAGCATACTTGTTCAAGTAAAAAACGTCCGAGAGAGTGATGGAGCCCTCGTTCTTCTCGCCCAACTGCCTACATGCATCCTTGGGCTCCGGTGCCAAGTGAGTCGCAGTGAGTTCTGCGTGGCGCAGCTCCACCCCCTGAAACGGGCGCGTAGAGACTTCAAGAAGGCCGCAAAGAACAGACGCAGCAACATCCCTTGACGCCTCCCCCACCACACCGCCGGGCTGACAACAACCGCGTGGCCTTTTGCTGCCGCCACTGCCACCAACTAGGCAGGCACGGCGCGGATTGTTTCTGCAGAGTTTCAGCAGCACCCCCGACCTGCCTGCTTTCAGCTGAAAGCATGCGTCCTCGTGAACAGAAGCCGGGGCGACATCCTCAGAGCGCCCGGACTCGGCTGACAGCTGCATCCGTCACTTGAGTGAAAACAACAATGAAAGAGAACAAAAGAAGAACAGAAAGATAAAAAAAAAATACAAAATAAAAGATAAAGAAAACATCCGCTTCCTTCCCTATCCCCCTCTCTCTCGGTCCCCGTCTCTTCAGCCCGGATGACTTTCAGCCTCTCCCACTTCCTTTGCTCACTTTCTCGCTGACTCTCTGCGCCCAAAGTTATAAGGCCAAAGCACGTATAAATCAGTGCACTCTTTGTGTTGCACATGTCTGGTTTCTATGGAGTCCTTCTTAGCGACTGCCAACAGTGGACCTCTACGCAGAGACAAAACAAATTTGCAAAAAAAAAACATGAGGGCGGAAGCGAAAGTATCCAAAACCAATAAAAAAAGAAAACGAATGGATTTTCTATTATACCGATGCTGTCGAAGAGGCCGAACTGATCTCAAAATCATCCTCGTAGCCACCCTTTCCTTCATGGGCTGCGGTCTTGCTACTATTACTGGTGCTGCTGCTGCTACCAGTGTCACTGTCACTCCTCTTTTCCCCTCGCTCCTTCGCTGTGGAAGGCCCTTCCATCTTTGATTCCTCTTCATTCTTTGGCTCTACTGCCGTCGTGACCCCTGCATCAGAAGCATTATTAGTAGTTTCTATGGTTGTCGTAGCCCCGCCGACATCCGCGGACTCCTTACTGTCACCACTCACTATAGCCGTCAGCGTCCCAACGTCCACGCCTGTATCCTTCAATATCCGCATGATCTCCTTTTCTGTCTCCACACGGGCCTTAGCAATATCGTACAAATGCGTGGGTTCTACAAAAATGGGTGGTATCTGGGCAACACGCTTTCGCATTTCTCCAAGTCTTTCTATGGCCTCTTGCTCCATTTCACGACCTCGTTGTCGCAGTGCTCGCACCTTCTTCTTAATGACGGCGTCAGTGTTAACAGAAGTACCCTTCAGGTACTCCTTCAGTCGTGCGTTCACAATTTTTTGTTGTTCCCATCCTTTATGTAGGGCTGTAAGTTCATCCCGGGTACTCTCACAGGCCCCATTTGCTTCGGCTGAGCTAAGGTACTTGCTAAAGACGGCCTGCGTGCGTATTGCATGGGCGCGAGTCCCCTTGGGGACAATCTTCATTATCCCCTCCTGCTGGCTGTGACGTCGGGCGCGTGGCCTTTACCTCATTCGCCACAGACCTGCACCGCTGCCCTGAACGTGTTGATGACATAAAACGCTTCGCAGGCAACGCCGAACGCCCCCTGACGATGGTTTCCTTCGAAGAATGCGTCAGATTAAAGGGTTGCACCTCTGTAGGCCGCAGTTTACGCTTCCGCTCTGCCATCATCAGACGATCCTCGGCCCACATGGTGTTGAAATCGGGCACGCCGCCACGTATTTGTGGTTTGAATATCATGTTACGATTGTACTTACTCGGGTCACTGTTTTTATCACACCTTTTCCGTGGCTGTTGCGTGACAGATGTCGCGCCTTCCTCACCAGCTGCCGCTGCTGACGCAACTACTGGTGTTGGCACGGAGGGCTGCGCGATTGTCGCACCTCCTCCTGCTCCAGCTGCCGCTGAGACATTACCTACCCTAATCATCTGTGGCACAACCGGTGCTTCGATGGGTCCACCCACAGGCACCACCGGTGGTGGCATAACCCCCACCTGTGGCTGTGACTGCCGCTGCTTCTGCTGCTGTAACTGGGTGTCACCTTCAACCATGGCTGAATGTCGTACCCCCTCCAACTGAGTCAGGCGCTCAGCTGCACGCTGTTTGATGCACTCAAGCCGCACCTGCTCGTGCTCCTGCAGCGCAGGCCACAGCTTCATCTTCACCTCCAGCGGGATCTCGCGAATCTCCTCAACACGTCGACGGTGTCTCACCTCAAACGCTGCGTCCTTTGCGCGCTGTGCCTTCGTATCGTGCCGCACACCCATAACCTCACGCACTTGGCGCATGCTCTCCGCGGAAAGACGCACTAGCTCCGTCTCTGCCCGCATCCGCTCAGCCTTTTCAAGAGCTAGAGCCTCCACTGCGGCACGCCGCTGACGCCACTCCTCCAACATAAGATCGTACTTGTTCATGTACGTGGAGGGAGGCACAGGATTCGCCTTAAAGCGGTGGTTCAACGTCTGGTGCAGCGCCTGCTCCTGCTGGCATCGTTCCTCCTCTCTCCGACGTGTTTGTATCCGTTGCTCCTTTTGCAGCTCCCGCCACTCAAAGGAAAAGGGGCGAGCACTATTGAGCAGCCTCTCGCGCTTTGCCTGGTATTGCGGATAGCCGCTCACCGCATCAAAATACCGCCGCAGCGCCTTATTTGACTCCCGCTGGTAACGACGCCGCTGCTCCTCCATCTGCGCCATCCGCTCGCCCAAAGGTACACCATCCCCAGTTGCAGCAATCCCAGCAGGCGCTGTTTCAGGCGCGTTGGCATTCACCACACCGCCGCTTGGTGTGCAGATTCCCAACTCATCTATGGCCATCAGTTCATGCTCGAGCTGCTGCTGCTGTCGTTTGAGATCCTCAATCTCCCGCTCCAGAAGCTCCTCCATTAATTCCCGTCACTGGCACTACGATCACCCATGTACGTAGGTGTTTGTGTGTGTGTGTGTGTGGGTGTGGGTGTGTGGACGTATATGTACGTATGCGCGTATCAGGCACGCACACACACACACACACTTTCCCTCCACCTTCCACTGTTTCCCTCAGCCTCCGCTGACCGAAGCAAGACGAGATAAAAACAAAAACCATGAAAAATAAGATGGTTGGGAAAAAAGACATAACAGCAAGTAAGCCCAACAGATCAATAAAAGCCCGAGCAAACAAACAAAAAAGGCAGTGAAACTGCAAACTTCAGTGGCACTCGCTTGAACACACACTTCATACCGACAGAGAGAAATCAAGAAAGGCGTTGAGGAGGGAGTCACAGCACATAACTTGTTTGCTTTTATAGAAATGATTGCGTTTTCCTGCTTTTGTTGTTTTTCTTTTATTATTTTTTTTTTGCGTGTGCTTTTTTGTCGTTTATTTTATATTTTCCCTTTGACTTTGCTACTCTGTCGCTGGGCTCGTTTGCCTCGTTAAACCACCTCACTTTTGCACTTTTGAATCCCACACAGCTCCTCCAGGAAAAAAACACAAAAAAAAAACAAACAAAAAAAAAAGACAGTAAAATACGAAAAGGAAGAGATAAAAAAAAGAGAGCAATGATGCATACACGTGAAGGACTGCTAGGAGGCCCTCCCACTAGCCCCCTCGCCTCAGCCCCTTCACCACTACTGATTTCGTTTCAGGCGCCTTCCCGCATGGCTCGTTGTTGGCGGCTACTCGCGCTCGAGCTCGATCCGCACCTCCACGTTCTGCCGGAAGCGGTACCCGGAGTACAGCACCAGCGCGCACCCAATCACCATAGCGACGCCGCCGGCGATCTCGTATGGCAGGCACACCGTCGGCAGCGAGAGAAGGTGAAACACCAGCAATGACATGGGACCACCAAGGGAGAAACTGCCGGAGAGGGTCATGCGGTCAAAAAAAAGAGAACTCCAGTGGTAAGTAAACCATGAGAGAAAAAGAAAGAGGGCGCTAAGGATAATATTGAGAAAGTCTTCGGAGGAGATCTGCGTTAGCGTCCGGTGGGAAGTGCCAATATGGGCGGCAAAGGCACCTGTGATGTACGCGGCAAAGGCGAGGAGCAGCGTCGCGAGCGTGACGGTGGATGACATGATAAAAAAATTGCTCACAAAGCGGCTCACCGTGCGCACCTGAAACAGAAAAAGTGCCATGGCCGCACCTCCCATGAGTGCAATGCAAACCGATATGATACGCCCGTATAACCCTGCGGGGTTCTTGAGCTCGAACCCAATGCAGAAGACAACAATGGACACAACGACAAGGAAGCATCCGATGCCGTCGAGCACAGATACGGCGTGCTGCTTATACTCCTCGTACAAGTATGTCAGGAAGAGCGGGATGCAGCAGAAACAAACAAGGCTTCCAAAGTTGCCGGACAACATAAATGCGGCAACAAGAGAGAGTTGCGAGAAGACACCGGCGAGCAGCACACACAGCACTGAGCGATTCCTTGAACAGTCCATCAAAAAACCCAACTCCTCGCTGCTAGGCCGCCATGTTAGCGCCAAAAAGGCCAACAGGTAGGCCGAGGCAAATCCAAACGCTACAAATGAGACGAGTACGCAGGCATCCATACGCTCTGAAGCTGGCGACGGCTTTGTCACCAGTGCAATGAAACCCCAATGCAGGACAAAGAAGGCGCTCGCCACCACCAGTACGAGGTGGGCGTACCATGGGCGATTATACTCTACAAGCAGCCGTAGTTGATCATCCGCCTGAACAACAGACACAGACTTAATCACATTATCAGGAAAGTGAACTCGCTTCTTCTTCACGGTTGATTTCTTTTCAGCACTCATGTCTCCCGTGAGAGGCGCCTGTTCAAGCCATATACTGTCCTCCGATGAGCTATCAACGCCACACTCAATTTGGGACGGTCGCTGCACATGAAACGAGGCCCCACGCGAGGAGGAGACGCCCGACACATCGCTGAACTGCCCCCACGGCAATGCCAAGGGGGAGTGCACCAAAGAAACCGGCAGACTTCGAACGGAAATTGGAGAAGTAGAAACTGGCACACGCTCAGGGAAAGTTGGGCTGCCTTGTGGCTGCTGTTCCTTGGTGGCAGAGTTGCTGCGCTCAACTAAACCACCTCGCCTGCCCACAGAACCAATCACAAGAGTATCCTCAACGTAATACGTGTTCTCTGGTGACTGCAGCAAAGCCGCCTTAAGTGTGTTGCGGTGTCGACTGAGTCGCGGCGGGAGAGTGGCGGGCACCGCCTCCAAAAACTTCCCACTGCCATTGTTGCTGCTGCTGTGGTCGCCATTTTCCTCGCGGCCTAAACACGGGGTTGCTTGTGTTGCCTGCCCCTCCATGGCTATGAGGGGCGTCCTCGGCTGTAGCCTCGAAGACAATATGCCCGCCGGCACCAGCAGCGCGTTCGTTAATTCATTCATGTTCACATGGTAGAACAACTGCTGCTCGGGTTCAGCGCCATCCCTCCCTGCTGCATATTGCAGCCACGGCTGCTGGCTACACTGCCCAGGCGCCTCGCCGACGCCGCTGATGTCGCTGCTGCTGCACCCAGCTATAGCAGCAGCGGGTCCCTCACGATGGTCCATCAGTCCCACGCCGCGGAGGGCAGAAACGGAAAAGGGCTAAATGCGACTACACACGCGCAAAAGGAAAACAAGGCGAAGGCGAAGAGTCAGGAACAAACCCAGTTGACAGGCACACCCACACAGAGATACACAGAAAGAGCGAAATAAAATAAAAATTTCGCTTCCTCACGGCCCTCCGCCTCTCTCAACGAATGCAGAAAAATATGCGCCGCACACACGACACAAATAACGAGGCACCGCAGCGGCAGGCAGGCATGTGCGCATGACAAGCTAAGGACAGCCCCAGCAAAGCAACAGAGACGCGCACTCCCTTTTCAAAAAGTCAAAAAAAAAACACATACACACACACAAAAAAAAAAGTCCGCTATCACACACATACGCGCATATAGCCCCCCACAACGACCCAAGGCTCACATTTATGCACTAGCCCCTCCAAGCCTCAACAAGAAGAAGGTATGAAGGTGTTCTCCTCCAAGACGTAGGAGAAGTCCGCCTCCACGAGCGCACGCACATACGCCTCGTCCCAGCCGTCGATAAGCCGAGTAGACACAATAGACAAGAACTGTTGATGCGTTCCACCCGCCGTTGCAAAACCAACAGAGTGAGAAAAAAGGGAAAGCGTCCCGGCACAGGCGCCGATTCCCGGCATTTTGCTGTAGCATGCAGGAGGAAAGCGCAGGAGAGGCCACTGGTACCCCCTCCACGCGGCAAAAACATCAGAGGAGGACACCGCAGGTGCCCAAACGTTGTGAAGGGATATTGCACGCAAAAGTGGACGCGGTGCCAGGCGGTGCAGTATAGGCACAAACGTCTCCGTCGTATTGCTCGACAAGATAGTGGCAGTGGCATCCAAGTCGTCAAAAAACACCCAACGAAACGGCGCAAATGTGCCGGGCATAATTACCACCAAAAAGTCAAGCAGTTTAAGGCATTCCATCTGCAGCGCCAACAGCTCCCGGTCCCGGGTTCTTGCTTTCACCGCCGCCGCGCCGCTCGTCGGTGATGGGAGAGAGAGTACCCGGAGCACGCCAGGAAGGACAATAGGCCAGAATGGATGCAGCAGGGCAGGGTCTAGTTTCGTCAATAAGACGCGGAAGAGGAAGAGGGAATGGCGCACAGAGCGATAGCCGGAGCCCAACTTACTGGTGGTATTCTCTGAAAGCATAGAGTGTAACGCGCGAAGGCTGTCTGCAATGTACTCCCGAATCAAAAGACAGAACTCCCTGTCCAGCATCAGTGAGGCAGGCGGCACACACGTCACATAAAATACAAGGCGTTTTGTTTGACGCTCACGCTGCCGCTCTTCCTCCTCCGCAGAGTGAATCAACGCCGCAATGCGACTGGAGTAAGAAGACGACGGCATAAGGAGTTGGATGGCGTCCCCATGAAATGTCCGATCCTGCGACAGACACGCGAAGATAACACTCCACTCATGTATCACGCTCTGTGGAAAATGAAAAATGTCACACGTGAAGAGGGTGTCAAGTAGTTCCTGTCGAAGCCGCCGTAACATGGCGTCGCCTAATTTTACGATCACCTGCAACACGGAAAGCGCCGCCTTGACGAGCGGGGTGCGAGCACGTACCTCTACGTCCATCTGTGACTCGATGCCAAACATGATGGAAGGAAGAAGAGAACGTTTGTATAAATTCAAGACGGCATTCGCTACGCGGTCTTGGTCTGATAGGGCACTGCAGGCAAATGCCGGAAGCGACAAGGCAAGCAGCTCAAAAACAAACACCAATTCAGCCTGTGCAGAAGCGGTGTGCAACGCCACGGCAGCGACAGCGTCAAGCACTTTACATATGATTTGTGAGCAACGCTTGTCTCTGCCCCATTCCACACGACCCGCCTCGTCGTCTCCGCACGACGAGAACGAGGCCGGCAACCCCATAAGCGATTGGTCCAAGACAAAGTGAGCGAGAACGTGTATGATAAGTGGCAAGCAGACCATGGACGGGGATCCCTGAGAAAGATGCAGCGTGGCAACACCAACCAACGCATTTAATACATCCTGGGCATCACCGGGAGGAACGCGACACACATACAGGAAGGTGTGCAAAAAGTAAAACACAGCAGCATCAAATGGCATCTCCACCCCCAGCGCATGATGTCGGGAGGAGGCGGCAAAGGCATTAGTTGTAGTGGGGCGTTGCCTTATCAGCAGCTCTTCCAAGACGCGAATTAGCGACAATGCGGTCGCCCCCGCTCCTGTATTCAGTAACTGGACGATCATCTCAGAGTCACTGGGTGACGATGAGGAAAACAAAGTTGTGTCACCACTTGGCACCATAAACGAGGGCATCTGAGCTGTGTGGATACTGGTGTCCTGCAACAACTGCCTCCTTGTTGATACCAAAGACGCAGCTTTTGACGAAGTGAACAGCTCCTTCAACGGGGGTGCATGGACAGCAGCCCATACCTCTATATATGCCTTGTAGAACTCCGCCTCCACTTCTTGGGCGTACAGCCGTAACACGCGATGAATGACATTATCCGCATGCGACGCCAGCACACAGTCATAGGCCCCGTAGCGGCGGGGCTCTTCCCCAGCCGTGCCCCGTGAATGGGACCGATGCATACCACAATGCAGCTTACAGAGTGTTGACAAAACTGGCCGTACAGAATGCCGCACAGCCCCGATTAACACCGCACCTGAGCCCACCGCCTTCTGCACAGGGGAGGGACTCCCGTCCCCTCCGCCAAGAAAGGGAATATGTGCCGCAAACCAACTCACAGGGTTGTGCTTCCCAGCAGCGTGGCACTGACGCACCTGCTTATCCGCGACAAGGCAAAAGTTCAGTATGCCATAGATGCCGTTCAGACACTTCTCAGTCACTCGTAAGGCGGTGGACTCCTTCGGAGAAGTGGTTTGCACCAGTAGCTGATCAAGCACGTTGAGAAACACCTTCAAGAGGTGCACCAACGCCTTATCGCCCTGCTCGTGGAAAAAGGGTAGGAGGTCCAGCAGCGTGCTACACCACAGAGAAAGGAGGTCACAGGCAGCCCAGCCAGGCGTCAGAGCCCTCGCTGCAGCCTGCTCCACACCCGCCGCAGCCGCATCGTAAAATTTTTGAATTTTTAGCGCCAAAATACAGTTGCGAGAGCTGCCTCGCTCCACCCTGTCAGCCACCGTTGCCGAGGCCCCAACTTGGGAAGCCTCTTTGGCCAGCATGCCTCCATAGGACTCACAAAGAAAGTTTGTGACGATTGGATCCAAGGCATTCAAAAAGCGTACGGTTTCCAAGAAATGTCGTAGCATCAATACTTGCACCATGGAAAAAGATGGTCGCCGCACCACCTCACGGAGGAACTCCACCATGTGAACAGAGGTGTAGTGCCATGTGCGTACAATTGTCTCTGACGAGTCGGGGAGGGAGAGCGTTCCCTCCAGCATCAGGTTTAACGTCTCACATGCCTCAGTACATAGCTCAACGTTCAAATGTGGGTTGTCGCCCACAGTCCCGCCGGACTGCGGTGAGAGACTCCGCTGCATAAGACCCAAAAGCAGGCAACCGAGAGCTGCAAAAGAGGAATCTAAAGGCATGTCCACCTCTCCGCTTTCATCACTTCCTGCTTCTGAGGACCTTGGCAACACAGCCGCCATCAACGCCCGAGAGCCCTCAGGTGGTGGCATCTGGTGCAGTTGGTTGAGAAGCATAGAAAGAAAAGACGGAATGGTCAATATGGCCTTCACAAGACGAAGGAACTCCATTGGGTTCAAGCAATGCATATCCTGCCTCTGCCATATGTGACTATTAGGATGCGAGGGAGCGCAGTCCACTGGCTCAGCCACCTCACCTTCCTCCGTCGTGCCCTGGAACGTGAAATACCGTGCAAGACGGTCAAATAATGGATTCAACACGCGGTAAAAACAGGGAAGTGATTGACGCACAATGGACTGGGCCAGCCATCGCAGCGAGGCGTCCTTGTGGTCCAGGGCCTGAAGCATCATGAAGAAGCCCGGAAGAAACAAACTTCCCGAGATATGTTCCTCATCTAACAAGCAAAAAAGCAGCAGCAGACGCTCCCCGTTCTCCGTAGTGGCCACGCTTGTGAGGTCATCGAGGATGACCCGACCCTCCTGCATGGCGTACAGGCGAACCAGCAGTTCCACAACTTGCGGTTGCGCCCCTGTGCCGCAAGTGCCCAAGAGCTCCCAGAGGCGTGGTAACAGCTTCAGCGTCAACTCTTGCATACAGATAACGCCTCGCAGTGCCTGCGGCGCCGTAACTAAATTCAGTAGATCCACATACAGCTGAAAAGCGTGTTGCTGCACTGTAGGGCATGTACAGCTTGCCACAGAGACAACAGAGTACATCCAACTTTTCAGCGCTTCTGTGTACGCGCCAAAAGCGTTGTCAAAAGACAGAGTTTTGCTACTGGACTGTAACAAGCGTCGAAAAAGAGAAAAGGCGGTGTCATTGAGACGTGCCAGTGTCTCCGCATACACGTCACTCCCGCGCAAGATGAGCTGAGACACGGCAGTGGAGCTGCGCATAATTGCATCCAACAAGGCAACCTCCTTCTCCCGTAACACGCCATATTTCCCTGTCAACTCCACTCGGTCCTGTAAAGCGGAGAACATGCCAAAAAAAATAAAGTTGAAGGAATCTAGACATCCATTAATCAAGCTTTGAGCAATAGTAAAGTGGGCAGTGTCGTCCCCAGTGGTGCCGTGTTCCAACGTCTCGCAGGCACCACACACGATGCTGCACAGCGATTGAGTGGTTGTGAACACACCCTGAAGGAAGGCGGTGGTTCGATTCAGGTCACTGTCCACTAATCCCAACACGTGAGGCTCCACAACGGCAGTCAGGCCACTTAGTCGTTGAAAGCAGATCTGTAAATCCAAGAGAACTTTAGCATGTGTGTCGGGTGACGGGGAGTTCCTTGCGGTCTCAGCAACACTCAAATTTGCCTGTGAGCCTGTCAAGACCTCCCTCAAGCCCTCCAAGCCTTGTTCCAGTACCGCCACCAGGTCATGCTCGTAGCGAGTAAAGTAATCCCACGTAACCATCGCAAAGAGTGCACTGAGAGTGGAGTCAATGGCGCTGCTCTGACAAGGACCCTCACGTCGCCGTAGACCTATGAAAACAAGTAAATCGCACACAAACGGCATAACCAAAGGCATCACGTAATCCACAAAAAGGTTTCCTGTCGCCTTGGCGGAGCCATCAGCGCCGTCGTCACAACCCTTGGCATGACTTGCGTGACCAGCGTCACCACCATAACAAAAACCAATGTTATTCGGATTATTATTGCCAAGATTGTTATCATCATCATCGCCATCACCGACCCCATCGGAGGCAAAGACGTGCTGAAAAAGACTCATAAAAGCGCGTAGCCAGACAGTTGGCATCACACAGGCTTCTGTTAAATCGTTGCGTGTCTTTGCAGAGGTGGAAGGGTCAAGCAGGGAAAGACAATGCTTACATGCGGAAGTAAATAAAACCTGGTAGTAGGACGCCTCCAGAGGATTCACTTGACTCGCATGTGTTCGAGTCCCCCTCGCGGCGACGGGAACAAAGCTCGACTCCCACCAACAAACAACCCCATGAAATGCCTGGGCCACAAGAAATGAGGTTACATCTTGCACGTATATAGAGGCCTCTTCAGGGATGGGGCCCGTCAACCACGCCGCGATACGTCGACGAATGCTAACAGTAACATCTGGAAGGCCAAGCAGCTGAATCACTGCCGCCACCAACAAGGAACGCTCGGAAAACGTAAATGTTGTTTGCTCATTCAGTGGTAAGGCGCCGATGAGAACGTCCAGCATAAGCCGATGCTTTCTCTCGCTTGGCTCTTGTAGGGTAGCAAAAATGGCGCTATGGGTAATACGGGGATCTCCAGAAAGAATAACAGAGGTTGTTACGGAGGCAGCTACAATACTGTTTTTTTGCCCTTCTGCGGCTCCATCTTCACACTCCAGCGCAAGAGAACTGCGGTTGCCGACGTGGGTGTGGGGAGGCTCCCCACACAAACGCAGCTTCATGTACAACAAGACACAACCACGCAGTGAAGGACAATTTTTCAGCGTTAGCCATAGTGCGGCGTACACCAGCCGGTCACCATTCCCCTCTACCCTACTCTCTAACAACGTGCCCTGCTCGTGGTGGTTGCCCTCGCTTTCCCCACATTCAGTTGAAATTACAGGTCCTACTGCCGCTAAATTATTTAACATGGTGTGAATGGTCCCCATTATTTGGAGGGTAAAACGATATACGTCGCTTGTGTCGCCTTCCTCCAGGCCACTCAGTACACCTGAAAGAAGTCCAGGCAGTTCTACAGCCACGGCCACAGGGGAGAGTCTGCGTAGCATGTAGACCTCCACAAAATGCAGTAACTCGCACTTGAGCTGAATGGAGCACTGAGGCAGGAGCTCAAGGACACCAACAAGCAACAGCGGCATTTGCCGTATGAGCAGTGCGGTCCCCATGCAGTAGCAGAGATGCTGCAAGACGTCAAGGGCTTTTCGATGCACGCCCATTACACCCTTCGGCTCAAAGCACTTCCAAATGACGCGGCAGAGTAGCACAGGATCTGGTAAAACTTCGGCGGCCGCCTCAATGTTGCTCTCGATGCACTTCAGCAGCTGCGAGAGCATTGAGGAAAGAGAAGCCCAGTTTGAGGAAGGCGTTCGGTCCATAATCCACAGCAGCTTCACCATTTCCCCCAAATACCGTGCAACCCGTTTTGAAGGTTGTGGAACCACCACCGCCGCCGCATCGCCCGGCTGTGTATTCATGTGCTCCAACTAAAAGGCTTTGAAAAGATCAGCCAAAGAGAATGCATAGAGCAGGGTGGGAAAAAGCACCATAAATCTTGACGCCACGAGCAAGCCGTCAAGCTGGAGTGGAGGGGAGAATAAGGGGGAGGAATGGTAAAATCCGAAAGAGGCTCGTATAAAAAAACAGACAAACGCAAGAACAATGCACATACCACAAAGAGGAATGAAGAATACCAGAAAACCCAACACTGCGTCTGTTCCACAGTCCCACATCACCACATGTTTCAGACGTGGCATGGAGAGAGCAAAGAAACACAGAAGCAAGAAAGGAGTGGGAAGGTGAAGGAGGGAGGGGAGGGGCTGGAGCACGTGTCAGTGACACAAGCTTTACTATCACGTCGCCGTTTCTTTCTTTTTTTTTTTTTACAGGAAGATGGCAAAGGGCAATCGCGCCCACCACTCATTCCCCTCCTGTCAACCCAGTTCAGTCAGTCACACATCACCTCTACCACATGATTTCCTCTCCTCTGTTTATTTTATTTTTCTTATTTCCCACATCTCACCCTTTTACGTCAACGCATCGCACTTCAGCAAACTTCACTGACTTATATCCCCCCCCCTCCCACCACCATCTCCCTTTTAAATCCCAGACGTTAAAACGGCAACACTACCTCACATTTTCCTCTTTATTTTTGCTATCGCCCTTAATTTCCTCCAGAAGGCGCACCGTCCCTTCTCCTGCCGGGCGCACTCGACGCACGCCACTCTCTACACACACACAGACCTCAACCTTTTTTAGTGGTTCAAGTTGCTGTAGAAATCGTCAGAGAACTTAAACGACTCTTTCTTCTTCAAGTATAGATACGTCATCCCACCAAGGACGAGTAGCGCTAGCAACAAAAGTACCGCGAGAATGATCACTGCCTTTTTGAAGTGCTCTTTCTTGTCAGACTTATGTGGTGCGGCTGTGGTAGTCGTGGTGGACTGGGTTACCGTGGGCTCTGGCATGTTTGGCGTCGTAAACTCCCACGCGTCACTCACTCGATAAAATTCGTAGGCGTCAAAGTTAATGAAATTTAGCTTGTACGTTGCATCCACCTGGCACTGCCCTGCATCTGCCCAGGCTCGATGGGCGCGAAAGTATATAAGATTGTTCTTGATGCAGCCAGAGGCGCTAGAAGCGACAGGAAAGCTGCTTTGGTGAGGCAAAAGACGGAGTGTGGTGTCGTAGACTGTGGAAGCCAGTGCCGCCATGCCAAACGGAAACACAGGGTCAACGTCCGAGGGAAGCAGCAGCAAAGGCACTTTCGCAGGGGCAACAACAGCTGGTGCGACGTCGTACTTTGGGTATGCTTTGTACATATCATACATCTTTTGCCAGTCTTTTAGGCTTGGCAGCACCAGCCGGTCCGCCAAGGTCTCCGCAAAGAGATCCTCTGGCGGCAGTGGTGGGCGGGTCAAGGTCAGCTCATTCACCAGCCAATTGTACCGCTGCGGCACAAACTGTGAACAGGGAGCTCGCTCCTCTGAGTGCAAAGCGGTATACAGGTGATTAAGCGCCGCCTGATCCTTCCCCGTGCAGCGTTGTAGACGATAAATAAAGGACGGTATCAGTTGAAGCAACTTCCACTCACTTAGCATTAAAAGGTGTTGCGGTTTTTTAAGCATTGTAGCAAGAAGGGTGCGGTATTCGCGGTGCATATCTTTTGGGTCAATCCCCCAGTCAAGACGGCTGTTGCACGGCAACGTATTCGCCTCTGCTGCCTTCATAACGTTGACAAGGCGGTTCCACATCCCCTCAAACGCACCAACATGAGAGACACATAGCGCAGTCCCATCCTCCTCACAGAACGCCAACAATCGCTGCATTGCCCCGTCATAGCCACGGATGCTCCTGAAGAGGTCAAAGTAGCCGGGGTGCGTAAACCCTGCCATGATGACAGAAAGGCCCTTCAGGTTCTCTCCCATCTCCAGCAGCCGCTGCACGACAAAGTTCCCAAGCCCCTCCGATAGCACCACATTTTGCCTATCCTTGCCCAGCGTACTCAGTACCCACAGGAGGTCTTTTGCCGTCTCTATCGTTGAATAGTGGGTCATGTTCAGCCCAGAGCGAGCAATCTCCGCTGCGCAGGAGGCGTTGGGCAGGCAGCGGTCTGCCATGCTGTAATAATCCGGGTTGCAGGTGATTTGGGGATGGGCAAACTCGGAGCCGCGAGGCAAAAAGCGTACAACGTTAAAAGACTCTTTGCTCAGGTCCGTGGCCCAGTCAAGGTCAAAGTTGTCCCCCACATACCACACAGTCGTGTTGGCCCTGTTTACGTCGGTGCCATCCACGACGACGTCGAGGAAGAAGTAAACATTTTTCCCGTTCTCCAACCACGACTCCTTCGTCGTCACATTGGCGCAAAATTTAAACCCCGTATGGCAGCCGGTCCGGCTCCAGCTAGGGGGCAGGAGGATCCGCCGCAAGCGCGGTGGGTGGAGAGACGCATGCAAAAGGAACAACAATGTGGACAAAGACGGTAAGAAAAAGCCAGAACTTATCCAGTGCCTTCATTGTGTATGACATATTTTTCTTTCTTGTATGTGTATGTATCCCTGCTGTATTGCACCCCAAGGCAGCAAGCAGGTGCGAGCCTACAGGGGCGGCAAAAGAAAAGAAACAAAGGGAAGCAACGCAGGTGGTGGTACAAGACGTCAACAGGGCCCCATAACAAACTGCAACACGAGGACAGCAGCGCACACGCACGCACATATATATATATATAGAAAGACAGCCAGACAAACAGAGCAGGGGCTCGGAAGGAGATGTACCTAAAGATATATTCTTCCAGTTTTTTTCGCTTCTTCCACTTCCTTTGCTTTTGTCGTCCCTCTCGATCTCTCTCTTTCTATCCATCTGTCTTCATTTCCCCTGCACTGCCCGATCTGTTGTGCATTACTTGAAAGATAGAGAATGGACACCTCTCCCTGATTCTGAAAGACGCCTTCTCTCTGCTCGTTTATTGTTGTTGTTTTATCATTTCGTCGCCGAATTCTCCGCAAGTGTTTGTTTTGTCTTCGCAATGAGTGCGTCGCCCTGAGCCTTGAGCACCTCCGCCTCACGTGTCTTATTCGCATCATCGTAGAGGAGTAGCAGGGTGGAGAGTCGGAAGTACAAAATGGCAAGGCAGGATGGATCCATCTCCTCCAAATTATCATCGAGCACGTCTGAATCCTCAAAGCGGTTGTTGCGTTGACTCTCCGCTGCGTCCATGGCGGTGGCGGCGGTATCCGCCTCCTGCTCCGTTGGCAGGCAGTCCCGCAGACACTTTTCCGCCTGCTCCAGAAGGCGGAGTCCCTCCTTCTTGGGGGCCCGCGACGCCATGATAAGGAAGACCTTCGACAGTAAACTCAGCGTCTCCCGCTGCTGCCCCGGGATGGCCGTCACCAGCTCCTTGATTTTGGAGCAGTGGCAGCTCGTGTTGACGTTGTACAGATTGATGAAGACGTTCTTGGCCAACTTGATGCGCTGCCAAAACAGCAGGGCAGTGGGACTCTTGAGGGCAAACTCAATGAGAGCTATACCAAGCTCATGCATGGGTCGGGCATACGTCACGTACTCTTCGACCGAGCATATAGTGCCCTCAAAGTCCTCGCAGAGGTAGCTGTAGTAGTAGAGGACATGCGACTCCACTATGGACTCGATGTGTCGGCTGAAAACAAAGATGTAATTCAGACATGCCGCAGCCAGTGATGTACACCCTTCGCTGATAGAATTCTCACTAACGGCACGGAAGACGGTGCACGCAAACTCGACAAGTTCCTCCTGCTTCACAGCCCTGGGCGTGGAGCCTTCTCTCACGATAAAACGGTAGCGCAGGCCCTCCTCCTGCGCCGGCTTTAGCGTGCAAAGAAAGAACTCAATGGGTTGCCCAAGGGAGTTGTGAAAATCCACAAGAATCGAGTAGCACGCATTCTCCAAGCAGCGCCACCACGCAACCAGTTCTGTGCCTTTCTCCGTCTCTGTCAGAACCTTCCCTGAACGCTGCGTGTAGGTGCGACGAAGGATTGGGCACAACAGACCGTGACCGCCAATCATGTGCGCAGCCTGACATTTTTGTGAACAGTACTCCACCGCCCCGCACTCCGTGCAGGTGTAGCCCTGCGCATAGACAGGGTCCAGGCACATTGTGCACTGCGCACCCACGTAAGGGTCTAACACGAATCGCAGACGGTGCGGTAGCACAAATGGCTTCCCCTCGACTCGCACAGTTGCCTCGCCAATATACCATCCGTACGCCTGGCTGCCCTCACAGCTAATCGTCACGTCATTTAGTGGCGTTCCCTTCATACCCACAACGACCCCCTCAAGCTTGTCAAAGCAAACGTCAAAGCGGAAGGCCTCGGTATACTGCCAGTGACAATGGCAGCGCATCACTACTGAGACTTGTCTGTCCTTCACTGGTCGGGGCACACGGCCCAAGCCAGGGATGACAACCGGTTCCTCGCTACTGCTGTTAGTACCGCACTCACCTCCCATGGCGAATATCTTCCCCTGAGGCCTCACCGAAAGCACCTCATTCTCGACGGCAAAGCGCAAAAGAATGTGCCAATCGCCGAACTCCGCGGAGTTTTGCGTGGAGGCAGACATGCTGCCTGAGGCTGCAACCTTTTCCTCATCCGCGGCGCATACTGGTGTGAAGTGTAACGTGAACAATCCCGAATGCATCCCGCTCGTGCTCATCGGATCTCCGCGTCAACAGGCAAGCAGGCGCCCGGGCAAACAAGGAAAAAAAAAGAATAATAATAAACCCCCCTACCGTGCTGCCAATTGTGAACAAACCAAATTGGAGTGAAAAGGCGCCACAGAGGTACACACGCAGGCTGCTCTTCCCAAACTCCTCCTTTATCTGTTTTCTTTCCCTCTCACTATAGTTCTGTTTTGTTTTTTCTGCTTCCTCCTCCCCCCCCCACCCTCAACTTTTCTTTTCTTTTTTTGCGTGGGCGTAGCTAGTGCTGTTGTTGTTGTTGCAGCGGTGGTGGTATCACGACTGTTAGATTGTACCCTTCGCTTCTTGGTCTATCCTCCCCCTTTTCTCCTTCAGCCTCTCTGGGCGCGAAGTCAAGCACTAGGGGGGTGTCACGCGACCAGGCAGAAGCGATGCCGCGCACAAAAGAGAAATAAAGCAAAGGAGAAGAGGCGTTGCCGTTGCCGAAGCCAAAACAAAAAAAAAGAGGAAGTGAAAAAGAGGTTCAAATAAACAACCGCCACTCCCCGTGTATCCACCTCGAGAGGAGTAACACGGCCTGTGGGGTCAGGCTGTCACGCTGAAGCACCACCGCTGTTGCAGTCCCCAGCGGCTACCACCACTTGTCAGACCCCAGGGCCTCACGCAGAAATATGGTCGCGTAACTGGAAGGTGGAAGCATAAATTTAACCGTCGCGTTAAATCCGTTCGCCGCGTCCGCCTCGTCAGTCCCCTCCAGTGTAAAGATGCACCCCGTCGGCTGCACAACCGTCCGGCGCATTGCACCTGAAAGTGGCACGCCAAGAACTTTCTTCTGCTCCAGCACATCGGAGGCATGCAAGTCAAGCTCCGTCAATGTCTGCTCAAATGCCGGACGCAAGGCCTCCTCAAACTTCACCTGGTAAGCCGCTAGGGGCAACACGTCTACCACCCCCGCAACTGAACCCGTGCGATGCAGCTTCGAGATCATAAGGTTAAAAATAAGGCTTTGGGCCGCGTTTACCCACAAGAGACGAATATTGTACGGTACGGTCAAAAGTGCATCGTGGCACAATTGCTGCCAATGGGTGGTACAACTACGAACATCGTCCGCGGAGAGCGGCGTTGCTGGGGATGCGTGCTGCGTCCGATGTAGTCGTTGTAGAGCCCGTACAACGCACAGAGCATCCCGGGCGTTGGCTGGCACATAACGAGCCTCCATACGCTCAGGAAAAAACGCGTAAAACCCTGGAACACAACTCACGATGGTGCTCACAGCTGCCGCCCACCTCCCCGCCATCAGATGAACCCCGACATGGTCCTTCGTGCTCTGTACACGCTCGCTAAACCGTTGCTGTCCAAAGTAGTTTAAGAATCCGGTCGACTCAATCTGTTGTAGGCGTTGGGTAAGCGTGCGAGGGGTCATCCCCCGCACATCCACGAGGCGCACGCTGAAGTAGTTTCCACTGAGTTGACCCATGCCAATCGGGGTGGAACAGGGCCCCGAACGTTGCAGAATCTCCATGTAGCTTGAAGGGTCACTGGGCCACACCAGACGAACACTTTCACCACCTTGCGGCCTTGGTCCTGGATGATGCTGGCCGGAGAGAGGGACGGAGCAGCGCTGGTACGTGATGGCGCACTTGTCCTTAAGTCCTGCCGTACACACGGCCGTGTCGGGGACCCCAAAGTGCTCCGCCAGAAGAAGCCGCATCTCCATCACGTCGAGGTTGCGCTTGCGAACAACGAGGTGTGTGAACAAACCCGACGAGGCGCCATCAACACCATCACGGGCACGTTTCCCCTGGTGCCTCGTCAACGAGGCCTTGAGTGTCACCTGCCCATTTGTGACACGACACATGAGACCCGGATAACGTCGAAACACCATTTTGTGAAATGTACAGCGCGTTTCTTTTGTCGTCTCCGGTGGAAAGTTAACCGCGATGCAAAAGTTATTGCTGCGTGACACCGCGTTACTCCATGCCTCCACCGTGTCCGCGGGGCCCTCGCCCAGGAGGTGGGCAAGGAGGAGATAGTCAGTGTCGTACATGGCAAGCACATGAAAATCCAAAGTCTCAGCAGGACCGCATAGGGATGGAACACGGCGTGTTTCAGTGCGAAGGTAGGGAAAGGCATTCTTCAGCGCGCGGTGCAGCCGCTGCCGTTCCCTTTTCAAGTTTAGCACCCCAAAAAGATACTGCTTTGCACTCGCTTCAGAATCCGCTTCCATGGTACCCGAGGCGTAATGCACAATGGCTTCATGCTTGCTGCCAAACGTTGCAAGTAAACTCTCGCGTGTGGCCTCCGTGAGCTCATCATCTGGCGTTAACAGACCAGCTACATCGCCGTCAGCATCACCATCACCATCGGGCAAGACGGCGGAACGGCGGAAGCAGCAGCAGAGGCCGGCGTGTTGCGGGGTCCGGTGTCCACAGAGAGGGACGCCGCTGCGTGGGGCAGCTGGTAATCCGCCGCATCGGTGCGGGCACCTGTGGGGTCAACCTCCACAACAACAAAGTCCTCGGGCCGTTGTTTGATCCGTGCGGTTGCGGAGCACTCCACTGGAAGCAGAAACTCCGTGACACCACACGCCCACAACATGACACCCTGCAAACAGCTGGAAGAAACAAAAGGGAGTACAGAAAGAGGGCGCGGAGGAGAAGCAAACCACGACGCCCATACACACACACAAAAAAAAAAAAAAAACAGCCCCACAAAAGAAATGAACAGTACGGGGTCACACAGTCACCGCTTTGGCTTCGTTCTTGTTTCTGTTTTTCCACTTTTTTTTTGTTCTTGCGTGTATGTGTGTGTGTGTGTGTGTCGTTATGGTCATTTGTATTCAACTACTTCGCTCCTGATGACCCCTATCTCCTTCTCCTCGCCGTCCAGACACAAACCCCGTGGGAACCACGGCTTCTATAAATCTACTGGCATTTACTGTACAGATGCTGTGCCCTGTCATACGCAGACTGCCTTGCAATCTCCTCCGCCTCATGAAGCCGCTCATGCAGGCGATCACTAACAAAGTTTTTGCGCGAGATAACGCCAATCACGTGGTGATTGCGGTCCACCACCGGCAGCTGCCGCAGTCCCAAGTGACGAAAGATGTAGTACGTCCGCGAGATGCACATCAGATCCCGTACGTAGTACGCGCTAAGATCCACGTATGGGGAGAGATCCACGTAACACTGCCTCGTAGCCGCCGGCAGGAGCTCCACCGGTGGTAAAGACGGCAGACGTCGCCAGAAGATGCGCTCGCTCACTTCCCTCAAGTCCATGTAGGTCGCATGCGGTTGCAGCTCCAGCCACCGCGTTGCCGCCTTCGCCCCATTACTGTCGGGGCTATTGGATGCGGCGGCGCCGCACCCATCTGTGTCACACCTGTCCGCATCAGATACCATCAATGTTCCCTCATGCTCGCGGCCTCCGCTGCTCTCGGCAACACAGTCGCCTAAAGTAGAACTCTTCAACGAGTCCTGTGCCTCACTACCCTTTTCCCGCTCCACGTCGCGGAAGTAAATAAACCACAATAGTAGCTCCAACTGTGAGCGAGAAATAACACCGTTGTACGTGCCTGTTCCCGTCAGCACCACAGGAAAGCTGTTATGTGGGGTGGACCGTAGTGTCTCTACAAGGTGAGCCACCGTTTCCACCGTCGCAAGCGTCACGGCAGGGGAGCTCATGATGTCCTTTGCGCAGAACATGTCCAGCTTGTGGACGCTCGCCTGAACCTCAAGAAACGGGGCCGCCTTCACCTCCAACAGCGAGTGGTACAGGGAGTGGCAAAAGCGGTTCGCCACGGCTCTCGCTAAAATCACACCAACCATGAGGCAAGTGATGTGCGTCAGGTCGGAAGTCAACTCCATCATAATAACAATGAGAGAAAAGGAGAGGCGCGAAATACCCGAAAAGTAGGAGGCAGAGCCTATCAGCGCCATCACACCCGGGTCCGCCCACACACTCTTGTTGAAAAGAACTCCAATGAGTCGCCCTCCCATGGCGCCTATAAAGAGCGAGGGAATAACTGTACCACACGAAATGAACATGCCACCCGCGTAGCTAGAGCCGAGTGTGTAGAGCAGCAAGTGCAGCAAACATGCATACCATGGTGTCACCGCCGCCGTATGACGGGAAAACAAGAGTCGAATGCCATTGTAAGGACTTGTTAAGGCAAGGGTCCCGAAAGGGCTGAACATGTTCTCGCGGTCAGCGCAAAAGGCTGTGAAGAGCTCAATACCAAGCTCTTCCTTGTGCATTTTCACGTACTCCGGCACCTCAACACAGTCAAAGGCCAGTGGAAGCATATAGCACGCCGTTGCATACACAAGGGCGCACGCGCAGGGCTCCAACACACGCAGCAGAACACTTGGAAACAGTCGTTTTGAACGCCATCGGGTGAACATCACACTCGACACTGTATAAGACACAGCTAGTAGGCCAAGAGCAATGGCTCCCACAATAGTAGGAATAAATGTCAATAGGTTCATCGGCACATGATTTCCCTTTACAACGCCCACAATAAACATGGAAATAGCATAGGGGCGGAATTCGCCAGCTCCCATGCTTACTGGCAGGCTTGCCGGAACCTGCCAGCCGACCAGATAGGTGTTTATAATCTGAATCACACACATGCATGACAGACAGGAGACAAACACGAGGCATGCAAGTTGTACAGGAAAAAACGTGGCCATTTCTTCCATCACAAAGAGCATTCCGCCAATGGGAGCAGAAAAGGCGGATGTCATGCCACATGCCGCCCCTGCGGAGATGAAATCTCGCATATCGCGTGGATTTTGAAAGGTTGAGAGCAATGAGTCTGCGCTACATCGCAGAGTCCGGCTGCGCCCCGTAGGAAGTCCCGCACCAATAAGAGAGCCCATGTGTATGATTGGCCCCTCCACTCCCACCGGAAGTCCAGAACCAACGGCAAGAATGCAGGAGAGAGACTTAACGACGAGGTTTCGTATGTTAAATATACGAGGGAACATAATACCATTCAGGTAAGCCATCACATCCGGTACACCGCTGCCAGCCGCGCTTGGCACAATAACGCAACAAAGCGAGGAAAGCAAAGCGGCAAAACCGCTCCAAAGAAAGTAAATCAGATATCCTCGACCTACGTCACACCAACGTACCCCGCCAGGCGTCAGTCCAAAGAAGTCAGTTTCATTGTTCGATGCACTTTTGTCTACACGAACAATGATATAGCGCTCCAGCAGGCTTAGTTTCTGCGTCGACATTAATTCAAGCGTTTGAAGGATGAGCACAGACCACAACCCAACACAGACCCCCACCGCGATAAACATCATCCACTTCAGCCAGCGATGCTCCTTCTTTCGATTCAACATTCGAGCCTTGTACGATAAGGATTGGGCCTCGCTGTAATCAATACTCTCATATTTATCCATGCGCCGCCGCTCTTCCTCCGAAAAAACGTGCGGGCGCGCTGAGTGCCAAAACAACGGAGCCCGAAGGCGTAAAAAGGCGGCATCGCCTTCCTCCTCAGCCTCTTGGAACAACTCTTGAGACCATGCATTCGTTCCACGATCCCTCGAAGTGCTGTGCTGTGAGTGAAGGGGGTTTCTTCGCCACTGAGAGGAGCTGACAGAGCCCTCTGCAACGCCGCGGCGCCCCATCGACTCACAGGGCATTGACTATAATCTCCGTGGAAAGGCAAATAAGCAAAAAGGTGCCAAAGTAGTTGAAGACAGAGTAAATGAAAATGGAGGGGGGGAGGGGGAGAGAAGGCAAGTTTCAACGACAACGACATCGCAGACGTGAAAAGCCAGACGCGGCAGTGGTATCAGAAGAAAGAGATGGGAGGGAGAAAGGCCAAAGTTACGGTGTCACACACACACACACAGACTCAGTCCTTCCTGTGAAGCTGCCGGGCCCACACCTCCTCTTCCTCCTCTTAACCCTCGCCCTGTCTCATTGCTGCACCTCCCTGGAGGCTCTTGTGTTTGCCTCGTGTGTCATAAAAAGCCGGTGGAGGGACGCACCGTACATCGATGGGAAATGGTGCAGCAAGGCCTCCTTCCCCAGAAACAACTGCTCTCGCCACGGGGCGTTGAGGGGGACGTGCAGCACCTCGGTGCTGTTCTCCACTAAATGCAGCACTCGGCCCGGGATAGCAAGAAGCGGCAACTGATGCTGCTGCTTCTGCTGTGATTCCTTCTTCTTCTTCTCGTTGTCCCCCTTTGGTTCAGAGGCCGGGGATGATGGAAAGAAGAGGTCGCGCAAAGAGCCTGCCTGTAGCCGCGCCACCCCATCAAGGCCATAGACCCACGACGTCATCGCCTCTTCGCCCAGAAGCTCATTGACTTTGGCCACCACCGTGCGTTCGATACACGGGGCAGGCGCAAAGGCAATTGTGCTTAACTCCGTCGTCTGCCGCGCTGTGGGAAAGAAAAAAAGCAGATGAAAAAGAATTGCCTCAATAGCACCAAGAGAGTGTCCCACGCCCATAACTGCGTAGTCAGGGTACATCGCTCGAATGGTGCCAAGCGCATGCATAATGTGTCCTCCAGCCTCCATGACATTCGTGTAGAAACCACGTGGCACGAGTGTGTGCAACTTCTCCGTCTCCCCCATCGCGGCTCTGCGGTACGTGCCAAGGCAGACGGTGTTGTAGCCGCCATCCAGATTTGCAAAAATGTCCGCCAGTGAGATGGTTCCACGGAACGCGATCACCACGCGACGCCAGTGGTGGTCCAGAAATATCGCGAAGCAAGGCTGGCCGAGGCTGGCGGAGTAGCGGGCGTACGCCACCTCGAGCAGCGGGTCACATTTGTTTCCAAAAAGAATACGGCGAATGGATGAAACTTGATCAGCCGTCGACGCAAGCGCATATCGGTTGTGGCGCGGCACCCAGAGTCCAAGAGAGCGCACAACGCTGTAGAAGTAGCCCAGCTCGTACGGCAAAGCGTAGACGGCCAAAGCAAAGCGCAATGCATATACGGCGCGTTGCACGTCGTCGAAGGGCACCCGCCACGGTGAATCTCCAACGCCTTCGGGGCGCATCCTGTCATGCGGCGCGGGTTTGGATGGCACCCTCGCACGCCTGCACCATTCCCTGTACGACTCGAGGCTTCGGCAACTTGACCGCCAAGCCACGGGCAGCCGTGTGGCGAGGCTGGTGTAGGTGGTGCCCACAGCCGTGAGATGCAAGTCTAGCTCCCCAATAACCCGGCGCACACCCTCCTTGTAACCTGAACTCAGTGCGACGGAAACACAGCTGCCGTTCACGGGGCGAACGTAGAGCGGCGTTGGGCCGCACTCCACGCCTCGCTGCCTGCCGCCGCAGAACTCACATGCGTAGGTGCTGCCCACGCTGCGGGCAAAGACCGGGCCGCTGCAGTCGCACCAACGTGGTGTATGGCTCCGCAGCGCTGGGTTCCGCCAGAGCCACGCCAACCAGAACCCGCCACACGTTCGAGTGGAGAATGAAGACAGAAACCGCCACACACCTCCGCTAGTCATGCGTCTATACAAACATATATGGATGGATGTATACCGGCCTCCCTACACATCAGGGGCGATAAAAACAAAAAAAAAAGTAAACACGTAAAAGATGCTCCAAAAAAAAAAAATCAGCAGTTCAGACAAACGTATCACGGCATATACATACACACAAAAAAAAAGCAATTCATAAGCGTATAACCCCCTTCAGCCACGATACGTCGCCTGCGTCTCCCACTCACCAGTTACCAATCTTTACATGCTGTAAAAGAGCGGCATATTCAACAGAAGCGGAGATAACACGATGAAAAGGAGCAGCCTCTGCGAAATAAGCCTAAGGGTCATTTTTGTTTGTTTGTGTGTTTGGATTTTTTAAATTTTTTCCGTCTGTCTGTAAAGGTCAGGACAAACAAACAAAAAATAAAAATAAAAAATCCAACAAACAAGTAATGAGTAGGCAAACGCGAAACTGTACAGGAGTAGGCCAAGAGAGAGGGGGAAAAAGTAGACAATGTACAAGGCACTGTGGAGGGGGGGGGGGTGAAAAGTACATATATAAAAATGAGTGAAGGGCGGTGGTACCGCAGAGGGCATGAAGGGAGCTCTGGAAAACTCACCCACTCACCCCACGCCAGACAAGCACACACACGCCCGGTGACCGTGTCCGGTTATTATTATTCTTCTTCTTCTCTTCCTTTTTGAACTGCCTCAACACATCACACGTTGATGACACGCAATGGCAGCCACCACCACCACCAGCAGCGCCATCGGCCTCGCTCTTCTCCTTCAGGCTTCTGCCCGGTCACTGCTCTAATAGACACCACTTGTAGGCGCCACGCAGATCTTCAGCGTGTTGTTACACGCCAGGCGATCCGTCTGCATCAACTCTCGACGCGGCAGCAAGGGGTATACACCCCAGCCTTTACCGGAAAACGATGCCGTCCAGCCGGAAACCGCCCACTCTGCCCAAAATACAGCTGAAAAAATGGAAATACGAAAGTCCAGGCGCAGTGTGTGGCCGACAGGGTACAGGAAAATCCCCACCGACTCATCCTCGCCGGCATGCTTGGTTTCACCTTCACGCGTGCTGCACCCCGCCTCCGCATCCGGGGCCTGAATTCGCATCTCCCAGTCAAGTCCCATCAGCCCAAATGTCCCAGAGCACACGGCTCGCCGTTGGTCCTGATGAAAGTATTTACTTGCATTGGGTACACACCAAACATATCCCTGACGAATATCTGAGAGATGCCGCATAAATAACTGCTGTCGTGCTGTATTATGTGTATCCACAGAGCAATCATCATACGGCAACTCATTTATAGTCCCATCTGTCCGCTGCACTAACAATGAAATCGGAGAAACGGTGACAGTGCGCCCCTCAGGGGTAGCGTCTACTAATTCCCTTGAGGGAGACAAGGGATATTTCGACTTACTCCTCACAGAAGAGACTGGCGGAATCAATGCCCCCTTCACTTGACGCGCGCCCTTTTCAGGAAGAAGTTGTTCGATGCTCTGGCGCACGGCTGAGAAGTCAAGGAGGAAAAGAGCAGCCTCGTTGGCCTGAAGTTGTGCTGGAGCATTTGTCGTCACCGTCAAACCTGCGTCATGGTGCTGCCCCGCCAAACGACGCCCCTCATCCAAGAGCTTGGGGGTCTCCATCAAGTAGGTGGCACTGGTCACTGTGGCAAGTGCATTCCCCTCGGACTCTACGAGGGAACCGGCATGCCTGCCGGCTCGCTCCCATGAATCCTTCAACTCCTGGATGATCCGTGTGTATCGTTGCATGACACGACCCACCTCCGTCAAAGGCTCGTCTAGGCAGTGGGTTTGGTCCTGCAAGCGTTCCAGCCATTCCTTCCGCTTGCTCTCTATAAGACGATGCAGGCCAAAAAATGTTTCTCTGCCGCAGCCATTGCCTCGTCACGCCGCTCCAACAGTTCTGTCCGTTGCGATTTCAGGTGTGACTCGACACGTCGGTATTGTTCCAGCCGCGCAAAAAGTTCCTGGCAAACCTCACTCACTTTTCCTCGCATTTCACCTACAATGCCCTCCATGCCAGTTACCCCATGGCCCTTGTGGTTGCCAATGGAGGCGCAATACGGGCAAATGACGCACCCACACGTTGAGCACCAAAGCCCCAAGAGTGTTCCGCTGTGAACCGCACACGTGACGTTGGTCAAGAGCGACGATGACTGCGTTTGCCTTCTATTTATCAGGAGGGGCACCGAACCGGATCGTTTCGGTGGCCTCTGCACAAGTGATGTATTCTGCACATTTGCAAACGTGCGGCCTCCTACACTCCCCGTCCGGCGGTGCGGGACGACTGAAGCAAAGTGAATCTCACGGGGTGGCGTGCCCCGGTGGTTACGTTTTTCCGCGGAAAGCGTCAACACGTAGCGCGGCAGCGCCTGAAAATTCTGCCCCACGCAAACCGCCTTCACAACTACCCCGTCCTTCCTCTCCACCCGATGGCACACACTGTCGTAGCCGGGCGGCGGCGGCGCCAAGTTCTTCAAAAGGGAAACGTCAGACAACCACACACGGCCCAAGGCGACTTCACACAGGAGAACTTTGTGCGGCTCCGACGGAGAGACATCCTTGTCATCCTGGTCCTTCATGGAGGAGGTAAAGACAAACACAGGAGGTGGCGTGGCCCAACCACCAACATCTCCCCCGCGGTCAAACCCACGCTGCAGCACCTCGCTGCTACTAAGAGAGTTGTTTGTATAGTACAGCAGCTCAACGCGGTCCGGACCACCGGACATCCGTGTGCCACGCACGTTATCAAATAAACGTTCAAGGCTCGGGTCAGTCACACGCAACGCATTCCCAAGCGAAAACATAACGTGCTTATTCCCTGCCCAGTGCCGCACATGCTTCGCGAGCTCCGCGTACTCCGCGACATCCACGTCCGGGTCCACAGGGTCAAGCTGGAGAGGCCGCGTCTCCACCCACAAGTGCGCCAGCACAACGGTGTTCGCCGATGCGCCATGAGACGTGTCGTCACCGTTGCGCTGCTGCACGAGGGTATGCAGTGCGGTCAAAAGTTCGTACCGTTTGTGCTCAAAGTTCCAGTACAAAATAACCCTCGGGGGGCGCTGCAGAGCGTTCTTCAGGTACGCGGCAAGGTCCAATATGCTGAAGACACGGACGCAGGCGTCCTCCAAGTCCAACGGACGACGCGCGTCATCTACGTACACAACGAGCCGCAACAGCATAGACTACCAACACCTCTCCGCCCACAAAGCACTGCAACGCTGCAAAGCAAACAAAAACGAAAAGACAAGGAGAAAAAAAGAAGAAAAAAGAAAAACGGATGGTCACGAACAGAAATTCATGAGGCGTAGACGCACGGCAAAGCGAAAAAGCTGCAAAGAAGGAGGAATGGGGGAAGACGGAGGAAACAAACAAAAGGCCGCCGGTGGTCCTTTTCACTGCAATTTAGTTCTCTCTCACATGACTCAGGCACAATGGCGATCTTGATCGCCCCGCTCTCCCCCGACAGCTACTAAGAGCCTCTGGGAAGGACGCTGCTGCACCCTTAATGATGAGATTCGCACGTGACACGAGGCAGCAGTTCGCGGCTGCGTCGCCAAGCCATCCCCCTTTCTACGGATTCGCCTCCCTGTGTGCTTCCTTGTTGGTCCCACGCCTTTACTGCACAAACGCGGAGAGGAAAGAAAGGGCACAAAGAAAAAAAAAAAAACAGGAAGAAGTACGCCTCTGTGAGCAGTTGGAGACGACACGAGGTTGTCAGCCAAACACAATTGTGCAGAGAAGACGCACAACAACAAAGGCTGTTCAAATGAATAAACAGAGTGAGGGGAAGAAAGAGAAAGCAGGGCTAGCCTAAATGTGAAACTCCTCCACATCAGCCTCAGGCTCCACGTCATAGTCAATGGACAGCTTCTTCGCTCCAGCGCGCCTAGAAGCCAGAACGGAGGTGCCCGCACCCATTGCCTTATCGTCACCGTCATCCTCAATGCTTGCACTCGCATCGCCAGAAGCGAGTTCAGCGCCTTCTTTACTTAGCCGATCACCACCACAGCTGTGCGTGCTGACGCCATTTTCATCCTTCTCTTTCCGCTTCATGGGTTTCGATTTTGCCGCGGCCCTAATTGATGTTGGATTTAGGGCCTGCGACTTGATGCGTTTCGGCCCCCCGTGGGGGGCGGTCTGTCGCAACTTTTTGTGATAAAGCAACATCGACTCACGCAGTGGAATGTCGCGGGCGGAGACGCGATCAGAGTCATCGTCGCTGAGCGGCACGCCAACACCCGCAATGAGAGCCAGCAGCCCTTTGCTGCGCAGTCTGTCACGCACCTCCGTGTTGGCCATAACATCCGCCACATTTCTCTGCGCGTGGGCAAGCAGTGGAGAGGCCACAAGCGCCTCTCTTATGTCAACGCCGCCGTCACGGGTGATGAAATCGTGGAGAGAGAGGAGGACTTCCGCCGTGACAGTGCCGCTTGGAAACCGCTGACAAACGGCATTGGCGTGCTGCAGTAACTTTTCCCACTGCCCCGCTTGGCACGGGGCCTCCTTGAGGGCCGCCACGGTGACGGCGATGTGATGCGTCTGACTGGGCCCCGCCGTAGGGAGACACCCAAAGCAGATGCGCTGAAGGGGTGAGTGCCACTCCGTTCGCAGTAGTGAGTGCCGCAGCTGCACAATGGCACTTGCGATGGAAACAATCTGCGCGTCGCTAAGGCGGACCCCCTCCTCCTTCTCTGCCACTATGCCCTCACGATGTGCCAGCTCGGCGCCTAGCACGTGTGCAGCGGCGGAGAGCAGACCCTCGTGGTCAAATCGAAGGGCATGCAAAGAAGTCATACAACTGGAAAGCTCTTCACCCTTGAAGGAGGCGATGATGTTCGCGGCACGATCGCAGAAAGGAGTTGTCACCTCCGTGTGACGGGTAATGCCGAGTTTCACCGCACTATATAGTACCAGTGTGATATCACGCGGAACAGCGTGACTCGCCGAGACACGCAGGCGGGGCAGTATCTGCTGCACCACACGAATCACACCCTTCAGGACAAACGTAAAAACGTACATAAGCAAGCAAAGATCATGCACGTTACTCCTTGGGGCCTTCTCCAGAATATGCGTTGCGGTGGTGGAGTAAAACTCAATGTCACTAAACCCCATCGTCGCGCACTGTAGAAGCATATTGACCAACTTGGAGGCGTCAAATCGGCCAAGATTTTCTCTGGTATACTCTACTACCACCAAAAGCAAGTCGTTGAACGGCAAACGGCTACGCGCGAGACTCTCAAGAAGCAGCGCCGCCTCACGTGCAGTGAGAACACGCACCCAATTTCTTTCTGCAGAAAGAGACTGAAAGAGATCTGGCAGGAACGCACTTCGTGCGGCTGGAAGCGGGGCAAGCATTTCAGCAAGCTCCACCTGGACGCGTAGTGGCGCGTTTGCCGCCGCAACAGAAATCATAGACATGTGTTGTTCAAGCAACGCATGACCCCCGTAGGTGCGGAGAGAAATCATGACGCCGGCAAGAAGCGGTAACCGCCTGGCGTCCGTGCTGGCCGCCACGTCGTCAAACTTAAGGTCCCGAACCAGAGCGGCGTAGAAGTGCGTGGGTTGAACACCTGCAGGAAATAATTTCAATGCGCCGTCAGCCAACGTCAGCATGCGGTGCCCCAACGCAGGAATGGCGCTCTCCGCGCACTCGTCTAGCAGCTGCGAGAGAGGCTGGGCGGCAGACGTAAACCATTCCTTTTTCTGAAAGCGCATCATCAACCGGATGAGTGCCGTCGTTCTGAAAACGTTTGGGGATGTGGCATGCAACTCCCTCAGCCGCATGGCAGCCGCCTCCATAATCTCTACATGCATCACTTGCTTCGCCTCACACTTTTGCAGCATGTCACTCAACTGTGGATCATCCGCCACTTTCATGGCCTTGAGCGCCGACTCCAGGAATGTAGCCATTACAGCATGGTTCGATGGTGCATCCCCTCCCGCTGCAATCATGCCAGCTCCGTCGCGGTGGACTCGCCGCGCCCGCGTGGGCGCCACAGCCACCAGACCACTGTCAAACCCCTCCGCCGAACGGGTGGAACTAGCGGCAAGAAGTGACATAACAGGCAGACCAAGTCCTCTGTAGCATTCTATGACACCGCTTAACTGCTCCATGGAAATGTAGGTGGAGGGCTGGGCACAAATGTGCCGCTCCGCCACAACGTAGAAATCAGGGTACTGTACCTTTCGCTCATAAAAACACTCAATGATACGGTACAGTTGCCGCCCTGTGAAACTATCCATGCGTCTAATGCAGTGCTCTGCTAGAAGTGACCAGGTATCCTCATGCCGCACGCCAGCAGTGGCAAGAGACTGAATGAGCTGCACAGCTCCCACGCTATCCATGCTAGGCAACGCCTCCGCCAGCAAGGATACGGCAGACACGGAGATATCATTTTGGCCAAGCGCACAACATGCCGCGATGGTTCGAGAAAGCTGGCTCCCCGTCATCTGGGAAAGCTCCTCTCGCACAAGGGCAATCGCACTCACCGTCACCGGGCTGCTTTCAAGCTGAAAGTAGACTAAGCACTCCACCAACCGGCGAAGCGCTGCAGGACCGGGTGAAGGACTATCGCGGAGGTTCAATGCACTTAGCTTCGCCTTCAGTGCACGTCCAAGCTTCTCATCCAGCACCACGCTGTGGATGCGCTTCAAATAGTACAAGTCATGGATCACGCGAGAGAGCATGCGTGATCGCTCCTCTGTTGTTGCACCCGTGTTTGTTTGCGTGTGTGTGTGTGTCCGTTCTGACGTTCTTCCCACAGCGCACCTCTACAAACAAAACAAAAACAAAAACACCCATACACACACAACAAAAAAAATTCAAATCAACACACCAAGGCAGCACACCAAACAAATGTGTGTGTATACATATATACGTGGTCTCCTGAAAAAAAAAAAAAGCGCAAAAGGACACATGCAAAAATGACATCAGCCCTCCTCAAATTTATGTTCCACATTCGCTATCCCGCACACACCCTAAAATTTTGTTCCACGATGTCGCTACAGAAATACGCCCTGCACCTGCGCACGCTTTCCGGACTACTGAAGCTTGCATCCTTCGTAAAAAGCCACGCAGCCCACCCCCCGTACCCCACACAAACCGGGGCTGCTAACCAGACGGGTTCGCCCCTCGTGGGCCTCCCTCCGTCCACGATGGCTTCGGAATTTCCCCCTCACGAAAGCTTTTCACCTGCTCCACGGACCATTGCCGCGCCTGCACCTTCTGCAGCTGCACAGACTGCATCGCGTCTTCCTTCTTCTCCCGGATCTGCTTGGCAGTGTGTTTAATGCCGGCACCGAGGTCCACGCCAAAAAAGACCATGATGAAGAAAAACATGGCGACTCCCGACCACGGTACCTGGCGAAACGCACGCACAAAAAAGCCATCCCGACGTGAGTCCCGCATCAACACCTCCCGCTCCCAGCGCTGGAGATATAGGAAATCGCGGAACATGCGAAGCCTCATCTTCCGTTCCTCTCCGTGTTGGTCGCTAGTCAAAAAATAAAAAAGGTTCTACCTCTTCTCTATTGTTCCCTTCACTCCCTCTATCGGAAGTGCACCGCGCTAGCAGCGCCGCAAGACAACCAAAATGAAAAGGAAGAAAAAACAAATATGGCAAAGGACTAAAAGAGACAAAAAAAAGAGAAAAACATTTCTCTCTAAACTACCGCAGCCCCTACACCCCACCCCATATGTGCGCAGGCGTACGCGCGGGTGCGGCCTCCGCGAGAATCTACTCCGTTACAGATGCGCACACGCATCATCAAAAAAATAACACACCACACGCGGGGCCGCATGGCCCGCACAAGCACACACCTTGCGAGCGTGTGTGTGTGTGTGTGTGTGTGTCGCCCACGAAGACAGAAGAGACACGCCCCGCCGTGTCTCTTTGTTGTTGCTGTGTTAATGTTTCTTTTTTTGTTTTCCCTCTCCTGAACAATTTATTCAATTTAACAGTGCTCCTGCGCGGCTACGCATGCCTCGCGGGTGCTCTCTTCTCGCCTCTTCTGACCCAAAGTGGTCTAAAGTAGGCCGTGTAGCCGCTACCTCCATCTTTTTTTCGCTTTGTGTGTTTGTTTTCGTTTTTTTGTTTTTGTCAGTGTGTGGGTTTCCTGCATGGGAAGGAAAATCCCCCTACCCTCATCCCCAAAGAACGCTTTCGCGCCCGAGCGTGCAAAAAATAATAACAATAATAATAATAATAATAAGGCAGCCGTCGTTGCTGCTGCAGGGGCCGAGGCCGAGGCAGGTTAAACGCAACGGACACCGAATGCGGCGGTCAAATGCACCTCCTCCACCGCGCTGCGTCATCGTGCGGCGAAACACACCCATACACAGCACAGTGGGACAAAAAAAGAAAAAAGAAAGATCACACACACGTGCAACGAAACTGACGCAGAGAAGGTGCGGGGACCACACCACATACGCGCGATGAATTGATAATCGTGCACGTGTCCAAAACAAAACAGAACAAAACCAAAGAAAAAAAAACGGAAACAAACAAGGGAAACGAAGGAGCATACGAGGAAAGGAACCTGACTTCTCTAAGCCTCTTACCTCTTCCATCCAACGGGCACATGCTACCCTCTCTGTTCGTGTTTTTTCAATTCCTCGTTTCACTCCACGTATGTCCTTAATGGCCTTTCTCTCTCTCTCTATTTCTCTCTGTGCCTCGCTAGCACTCTTCTCTTTTCTTTACAAGTCTCTTTTCTCCGCATATCTCCTGCAGACGTGTGTGGGTGTTTTACTCTTCCCCCCACTCTCCCTGGTTCCATCTATACTTACATAATTGACTCGCGCATCTTATCCAGCCACACTGAAACACACACAAAATGATAGGCCGGGAGAAACATGTGGAAAAGCCATACATACATATAGATTTAAAGCCAGAGAAAAAAAGAGAGAGTCCCATACAAACACATAACTCTACATCTAAAAAGAAAAATAAGAGGGGCGATGATGTTGATGCTAATGGGAAACAAAAGAACCATTCCTGGTACTTTGTGCGTGTTTGTGTGTCTTGCCTCTCTTTCGCATCTTTTGACTGCCCACGCGCCGCGGAGACGCATGGAAAATGAAAAACAAGTTCTCAATTATTTTAACTGGTTGTTTGCTCCTTCGTTTGCTTCGGCTTCTCTTCCTTCCCAACACGTGCCACGCCCCCCGTGGCCCCGTCCCAATATATACATGTAGGTCGGTAGGTGCACATACAAACAAAGTGGGAGAAAGGAAAGGAAAATAGGCATGGCAGCTTTGCCTTCTTCTTTTGCTTCCTTCGGTATCTCCCTCCCCATCGCAACGTTTTTTGTTGTTGTTTTTTTTTTTTAATTTTTTGGAGTTGTTTCGTTTTGCTGCGGCCGCTTCTATTCCACGCCCAACCCCAACCCCAACCCCAACCGCGGGGGGTGAGCGAGAAGAAACGAGAGAGGGAAGTGAGGAGGGGGAGGGGGGCTCACGAACAGAACGACCAAAAAACGTGGGTGAATCTAACTTCTAAGTGCGGTGTAGAAGAGGGAGGGTGAAAGAAAGGTGAAAAAAAAAGAGGGTGGGAACGAAACAAACGAAGGGATGGCCAGCGCGGGAAGGGCAACAAAGGGCAAGGCGCGGGGAGAGACAGTGCCTCCCCCCGCCCTCTGTGTTTCCCTGCTTTGCTCTCACCACACCAGCGGCCCCCCTCGCGTGGTCACCCACGGCAGTGAAAGGAAAGGGACAAAAGTTCGCATGACCTCTCTCTCTCTCACTCACACACTCACTCTTTCTTTAGTGCTGTCAATTTCTCTAACGGAGATGCACATAACCAACTACAGGTGTGAGGGAGCAAGGGGATGGCAACAAATATTTGATCCTTGTATTGCTCTCAGCGGTCGGGGACCTCGTTAGGCATGATGAGCTTTGTCACCTCACCGTACCTTGCGCTGCTGTACTTGCGCCGCACCGCCTGATACTTCGTAGTGGGAACATAGTTCACAAACTCCAGTATGGCTTCCGCGCATGCCTTGAAATCACACACCTTTGCCTTGCTGTAGTGTTGCAGATGACGTGTCCAAATTGTTTCGCCCTCAAAGGAGCAAGTGCCGCCTTTTTGTTTGATTCGTATGGTTAAAAGGGCGAGAAACAGCGAGGCATTTGCATGCTTGGATGAGGTAAACTGCAGGCATTTGTAATCAAGCATACCATGCTCCATAAAGAAGAAGGCGGTGTGACGCAGCCGGGTCAGGTAGACACCATACTCCTCCCCCGACGATCCAGAATGGTCCAATCCCTCCATAAGGTTTAGCAGACGCACTAGGTAGGGGAACGGCGTCGGGACCGTCAAACGGAAAGACAAGGCAGAACAAACGCTGCGCTCCATTTTGAGGACCTCCTCCCGTGTGTATGTGTTGGCACTAATGTGTACACATTCCTTCACTACTGGGGGCCAAATTTCCTCATACTTGGCGGCAAGCAGAATAGCAGTGATACCGACTAGCTGCAGCTGCGATCGGGCAACGTACGTTCCCGCCGGCTGCTTCGTATTCACAGTGGAAAGGTAGCGGTCCAAGATATTCACTGCCAAGTACATTGTTTCTGCGTGAAGTTTAAACTTGAGATGAACGTCAATGAGCCAATCCACCAAAATCATACGCATCTTTTCATTAATCTCCGGCTGATACGTTAAGTATCTGGGTGACGCCACAATCTGGTCATTGTTTGCCTTCCCTTCAATCTGCTTATCCCACTCCGTGTACATGGCGGTGATGTCCTTGACAATGTTGTTGCAGAAAACAGGGTTATCGGCGTGGCAACGATCGGCGCGGGGACTTACAAGCATCTCCTTCGACCTCTCCTTTGTGCCGGGGCAAAGGTCGTAGAGGCTTGACCTAGGCACGAGCGTTGAGGGGGCAAGACGATAGGAGTCCCAGCTACTACCAATACGCTGAGCCAGGCGCTGCTTCACATCGCCGATGCCGCCCGAGAGGTTTGACACCTCACGCAGTGTTGTGGGGTTCATAATGACTGGTTGATGTTTGCTGTGGTAAATGGAAGTGTCTCGCGTCTCTAACAGGCACCAACACGTCCCGTGGCTCAACTAATCCGTATGTGTTTGTTTGTTGTTCTTCCCTTGATTTCTTCCCCCACGTCGTCCGCTGTGGCACTTTCAGATGGCCGCCTCCTCTCCGTGTCCCCTCCTCGTCCCGGCTGCTGTCGATTTTTTTTTTTGTGTGTGCGTATTTTGTTCTCCTCCGCCCGCTCTCCACACGTTGGCTTCTGTTCGTCTGCTGCTCGACACCTCTAATTTGGGCCTAAGTCCTTCTACGTCTCTGTGCGGTGTGTGCAAGCAAGCAAACAAACAAAGCAAACAAAAAAAAAAACGAGGAGCAAAAGGGGAAGAAGCAGAGAGGAAATTCCCTTGGAAAACACGCCCACAGCCGTTGCTAGTCCGCATGCCCCGCAGCGATGCGAGAGGAGTAGCATGAGGGAGAATTGCGTGAGTGCGTACGCTCGAGCCAACAAATAAATTGAGGCAAAAAAGAAAAAAAAAGCGCTTCCAAATGAGTGCTGCCCACCATTGACGGGCGGCCGTAGATGCCGTGAGGGCCCTTTTATGAGTCTTTTTCTACACACGAAACGAATTTTCAAATAATATAAAAAGGCGAAAAACACAAAACGGAGTGGTGTTTGTGGGTGAAAAAAGAAGAATAAATGAGGGGAAAAAGTTATTGAGGCAACAAAACATGCCAGTCAAGTCTTGCCTTCACAGCTGCACGCATGCAAGTGGAGGTGCACACGTGAAGATAAAAAAAAAAAAAAGTGAAGCGCAAGTACTCCGGACTCATCACCGCTGCCTCACCTCTCCGGCTGTACTCCGGCTTTGTTTGCGCCCCTTCTCATCCACCCATCCACACGCACACACATGGACCCAACCATCCCCTTTGAGTTGCAGCTGAAGAAAACCCCCCGGAGGCAGTTGTCCCGCTCAGCTGCTGTTAATGTCGTTGTTGTCCCCTTCTGGATTTGTGGTGGTTATTTGTCCCAGATGTTGTGTGTGCGCTACGCTGAACCTTACGGAAGGGGGGGCTGTTTGCGTTCCCCGCACACCGCACACACACACACAGAGAGAGAGAATGGGAGGCCCACGATGTGTTTTTTTTTTTCCTTTCCCCACCGCACCCCTCTCCTCTCCTCCTCTACGTTGCATCTTTGATGTACACCACCCACATACACAGAAACGCCTCCCTTTGTTTTATTTTTCTTTTCCCTCTCTTGTTGTTGTTTTTTTTATTGCTCCACTATCCTTTTTTTTTTTGCTTTTCGTTGTTCCCCCCTCCCCTCTCCTCTTTTGGTCCATCCCTACTACCGCGAGGCTACTTATGAGCATCCTCGCACGTGAGGTCCCCTCTTATTTATAGCCGCCACCCAAAGACTAAAAGTTAATACTCTTCGCGTAGCATGCCATGCACGCCTCCTTCAAGGCCTCTGACATTGTCGGATGGGCGTGGCAGGTGCGGCCAACGTCCTCAGAGCTCGCACCGTACTCCATCGCCAGACACGCTTCCGCGATAAGTTCACCAGCCGTGGTGCAGACAATGTGCACGCCGAGAATGCGGTCTGTCGTCTTGTCAACAAGGACCTTCACAAATCCGTCTTCGCTGGCCACCGCCTTCGCGCGGCTGTTCGCGTTGAATGGAAACTTGCCAACCTTGTAAGCGACGCCCTCATTCTTAAGTTCCTCTTCGGTCTTGCCGACGGATGCCACCTCCGGCATCGTGTAGATGACGCCAGGAATAACGCCGTAGTTCACGTGGCCATTCTTCCCTGCCAAGTTCTCGACGCACGCAATGCCCTCATCCTCCGCCTTGTGTGCAAGCATCGGACCCTTGTCGACAACGTCGCCGATGGCGTACACGTCCGCAACGTTGGTCTCGAAGTGGTCATTAATCTTCACGTGGCCGCGCTGGTTCGTCGCAACGTTAATTTTGTCAAGGCCAAGGCCGGCCGTAAACGGGCGGCGGCCAACAGACACTAGCAGTGCCTCACAGTTGAGCGTCTCGCGCTTACCGTCCTTGCTTTCCACCTCGAGGGTTACGCTCTCGCCGTTGTTCGTCCCGCTCACCACCTTTGTGCTCGTCATAAACTTAATCTTCTCATTCTTCGCGAGGGCTTCCACAAGGGCCTTCGCGACATCCTTGTCGAGCGTCGATGCGCAGCGGGGCTCAAACTCAACCACCGTCACCTGCGCCCCCAGTCGTGCCCACACACTGCCAAGTTCGAGACCAATCACACCGCCGCCAATTACTATCATCGACTTCGGAACACGCGAAAGCGCAAGGGCGCCCGTGGAGGAAAGCACCACCTTTTCGTCAAACGGCAAGAAAGGCAACTGCGTTGGCTCGCTGCCGGTGGCGATAATTGTCTTTTTCGCCTCAATCACCTCCTGCTTCCCGTCAAGACCATTTACCCTGATGCTGTGCGCCGTCTCAAAACTGCCCTCGCCCTTGTAGTAAGTCACCTTGTTCTTTTTGAGCAGATACTCCACGCCCCCCGTGAGCCCCTTCACCGCCTTTTCCTTCTGCTCCTGCATCTTTGCAATGTCCATGATGATCCCCTCGCCACCCATAAGGCCGTACCTGGAGAAGCTGGTGTGGGCATCGTGGTACATGTGCGTCGCGGAGAGAAGCGCCTTCGAGGGAATGCAGCCAACATTCAGGCAGGTACCGCCGAGGGCACCACGCTTTTCGACACACGCCGTTTTCATGCCAAGCTGCGCGGCTTTGATGGCAGCCACGTAACCGCCAGGACCGCCGCCAATCACGACAACATCGTACGGGTTAAACTTCACTGCACAACGACGGAACATTATGTGTGCACGTTTGCTTTCTTTGTCTCTTCACTCTCTTGCTCTGCTGCGTCACTTCCCTTCGCTTGCTTGTTCGCTTTTTCTTCTTTTAACCAGTTCACTCAGTGTTGTGCTTCTATTTGCGAAGGTGGGGGAGCGGCAGACAATATAAAGAAGACAGCAGAAAAAAAAAAAAAGGCGGGTTAGACAAAAGGAGAAACACGCTCCAGCGGGCACCATCCATCACCGGCAACACCAACGTCAAGGCGAGTTCAACACACACGCACAAATACAAACATACCCCCTCTCTCTCTCTCCCTCCCTCCCTCCCTCCACATGTCCTCTCGCCCTCGCGTAGTTTTCCCACGTTTACTTCCATGTATGTTTGCACGGGCGAACTCATTCGGCTTTTAAAGATGGTAGGAAGCAAACAGGACGAGGAACAAAAATGAGGCGGGATAAAACAAAAAAAAAAAAACCATTCCGGCCACACAAATGCATGTCGGCTTGGAGTATGTGAGTGGGTGGGTGTGTGAGGGAAACGAGGCACAGACTGACTGATGGAATGCGCACCATATGCCTACGTGTGGCGGTGAAAAAAGTAAGGCCTGCCCCGTAGCAGTGGCAATGACAATAATGTGGAGGGTCAGGCACGTCCAAACCGTTTATCCATCATAGGTGCTCCTCAATCTCCCTCTTCTGAGCCTCCGTCAAGAACTTTGGAAGCTCAAACATCACCTTCACGTATAGATCCCCCTTCTCCGAGGGGAGGTGGTGCCGTGGTATGCCCTTCCCATGGATCTTCAGCACCTTACCGTACGGCGTCACACCAGTGGCGTGCACAAGCACCTCCGTCCCGTCAAGGTGCTTCATGCGTCGATCAAATCCCAAGAGTGCCTCCTTTAGCGTCACAGTGAGCGAGGCGTCAAGATCGAGGCCATTTGAGCGGCGCGAGTAACGCGGGTGAGGCTTTGTGAGCACTGTCATGATGAGGTCTCCGGGAACAAGGTCTGGTGATTCATCGGCCTCCATCTCAAACCGCACTTTGTGCCCCTCAGGTATGCCCTGCTCAATATCCATCGTCAGCGTGACATCGCCGCGGACGACCTTATTGCCATTGCACGCGGGGCACTTGTGCTTTGCAACACGCCCCTGCCCCTGACAATGTGGACACGCCTGTTGCACTTCTTGGTACATGCCTGGGGCAAGCTGCAGACGCTGAATCACAATACCGTGACCGCGGCAGTGGGAACACACCGTCACTCCACTGCTCTTGGCGGCACCATTACCCTTACACTTGGTGCACACCTTCTGCTTGCTAAACACAAACGCCTTCTGACCTCCCCTATACACATCCTCGAGATCGACGTAGAGTTTGCCCTCCGAATTAGACCCGCGCAGGTTACCACCGCCACCCATGCCAAACATCCGGGCAAAAGGATCCAGGGAATGCCCTTGGTCGTTCTGCGCCAACGCCCGCTCAAGCTGCCGCAGACCCTCCTCGCCCCGCATATCATACATGCGGCGCTTCTTTTTGTCGGAGAGAACCTCATTCGCGCGATTAATCTTGCTGTACATCACTTTGGCCTCTTCACTCCTTGTCACATCAGGGTGGTACTTGCGGGAAAGCTCGCGGAACTTCTGACGCACCTCCTTCTCTGTAGCTTTTTCAGTTAAGCCAAGCACGGCGTAGTAGTCCATCTCTTCATGTTCCGTGGGGGCAGGTGCACGTGCCTGTCCCCCTCCGCCGAAGAAGGCCGAAGTGGGAGCGGTGAAGCACAGCAAAAACAGCAAAAGAAAAATGGGAAGGAGAGGCGTCAGACACGCCCGTCGCAATGTTCCCGTCATTTTTATTATTGACGGTACGATTGACTAGCACCAACGTTGTACAACACCGTCCCGTATTGCCGCCCACCTGTTAATATTGGCCCCGTCGTGTTTATGTGTTTGTGGGCGTTCCCTTCGCTTTTCTTTGTGTGTTTGTGTCTCGTCCCTTTGCTTGACCAACCCGTAAAGAGATGTGCCTGTGCGTTCGCTGTGGACGTTGGGCGTCCAACTTCCGGCACAATCCAACAAAGGGCAAAGCAAAAACAAAACGGTAAAAAAAAACAGAAATAATAATAAAGAAGAACGACGTCGTGAAGAGATGCAACGTTGGAATGGACAAATTGAGCGACTCAAATCTTTTTGCATATCTCCTTGTGCGTGTGAGAAGGAGAGGGAGTGTATTTGTTGTCACTCATGTCGGTGCACAACTGTCTTCATTCGCGGCCCCTCGTTTCCTTTTGCCCTTCGCCTCCCCCCCCCCCCCACCCCCGCACCATCTACGTCGCCGCCGTCCCTCACGACGATGACTGGCCCGGCATGGGCTTATAGCCGCTTTGCGCCACGGGCGTCATCACCTGCTGCCCTAGGCGCAGATTGACGTCCATCGTCCCTGCGGGTGCACCACCCCTACGACCCATACGGTTCTCCTCCATTTGCTCGGTAGCATTTTGCAGAAGTTGCTCCTGCTCCTCGCGCGTCACCTCGCGCGTGGCTGTACGTTTGAACATCATCCCGCTGCGCTGCGTGATCATGAGGCGCCGCACGTGAAAAGATAGGTTGCTCTCGTGCTCGTCAAGCTCCAGCACCCGTGAGATAAACCACTGCTGCGCCACCATGTACGGAATCGTCGCCGCTGTCAGGCCAAACAGCGTCTTTCCGATGCGTGGGATGTTGCGCACTATCCACGACGGCTTGCCTGCAGCTTCCTTGCCGTCGATCGTGGCAAATACACGAACGATGCGGTGCCAGGCAAGACGTGAACTGAGCTTGTATCCGAGAAAGAATCCAAGCGGCATCCCCACAAAGGTGCCAAGCATACCCTTTTCAATGAGGCGAATCTCCGACAGGCTCAAATTATTCTCGTAGTTCTGCAGAAAGTTCAAAAAGTCGGCACGCGTGTACGGCCGCGTCTTTTCATCAAAGTTCATCATGGCCATACCTGCCGTCACGGTGCCGAGCTCACGCACACCGCCACCACCACCCACGTCGCCCGACGTCATTGGAGCCAAACGGTACTGATGATAAAGTAATCGTAGCGATACGACCCTCGCGCTCTCCTCTGCGCACCTTCACCTCGTCGTTGTTGTTTGGTTTTAAATAAGAAGCGCCCGTTTGTGCATGCGTATGTTCGGGAGAGGCCCACAGTACACAAGCCCACAGGAGGACACGCCACAGCCAAGTGACACAGAGCAGAAAGAAAGAGAGAGAGAGAGAGAGAGAGAAAAACAGAAGCGTGAAGAGACTGCAGTAAACAGAAATGCGCACGGAGACACACACACACACACACACACACATAAAAGGTCAAAAAAGATATGCACAACAACAAACCAAAAAAAAAAACATTTAAAAATAAATACTAACGATTCTCCAGAGTGAAAGTCACCTGATATCCCTCACAACAGACACTAGAAACAATACTATTAGTGCTCCGCCCGTGGCGCCATCGTTAACGCCGGGCGCAGGTTGCCTGAGGCAACACGGGGGTAGAGAAAGAAGTGACGGTGAGAAGAACGATGATGCCGGAAATCAGCACAGCAGCAGCAACAATAACGTCCATCAAGAACAATATACATATATATTCTCTTCTTTAAGCGTGGAAGTAGTCATTGCCAGTAGTCACGCTGGCAGAGTCAAACATTATGTTTACTCGTGCGGGTGAATGCACGCATTTGCCTCTGAGGGATTAGGGGAAACAAAATTCATCACTATTCATGTTCGCACAGTTGTTGAAAGAAAATTGTCTCAAACGCCGCGCCGCGCCTCCGGGCCGCCGCCGCTTCACAAGCAAGCGCACCGGCCTCAGCAAACAGGAGGAAAGCCCCATACCTACACACGAGTGCAGTTGGAACACGCACACACAAAAATGACCACAATAATGGACGAGCATACTTCACAAAGGCGGAGCAAACACGATCTTATGACTCGGCACGTCGCGAGGAGAATTCACATGGTGGGGGTGGGGTCTTTGCTCCTTCTCCTCACATTAGGAAAGAGCCGAACAAGGAGATCGTAGTTTGGCTGAGCGAACGCATCCCCCCACACCGGAGGAAGCCCACCAAACACCCACCCACCCACACCAGTACACCAATTGGTGCACAAAGCAATCTACAAAAACTGAGGCCTCGCCGTGAACCCACAACGTGGCAGCCGTTGAAGACCCCGCAACCGCCCCTCCCCCTCGCATGACGAGCC